ACCTGCAAACTTTTAGGCTGAAGTACGAATCGCTGATTTCCAAACAAACACCAATACAAACATAAATTAAGTGCACAACAGTATCAAAGACAAATAATTGTCTAAATAGCTGTAGTGCTATGTTTTTAAGGCAAAAGTAAAGTCGTTAAAAGGATATAAAAGGACGAACTCGAACTGCGACCCGTACGTTGTCCGCCATGTTGGTTGTTATGAAAATCAGTAAAGAAGTTTCCTAGGTTACGCGGGATAGCTCTCTTTCTATGAGTCGCGGGGAAAAATCCAAGTTTCTCAAGAAGAAACACTTCGTTTCATGATAAGTACACAATCATCGCAGCAATATTTTAACTACGAACATGCTGAATCCCTTGAAAGTTTGCAGAGCCGGGTCACGAGGTCACTTCAGTCGTCACCACTTGACGCGAGAGCCAGCGATGTTTACCTGCGTTACCAAAACACGCTTTGCCAGAAATCACGCAAAGTTCAAAGATAACGAAAATCCATTCCACGTAGTAACAAGTCATTTTTATTCAAAGTATGTTGTAAGGTTTCAGTGATTTACATGGTGTTTTATTTCTGGAAAATTTAATTGCCATCAGAGTCTGTTTTGTCGCGTCCGTAAGTAAACAATTTTTTTTTCTCGCCCTCCCCATGCGGTTCTTCTAATTACCCTGGAGCCTGGAAGGAGTCAGACAATTTCCCAGAAACCACTTGTAGTTTCATAATTCCAAAATGGCGGACGTTCTCATCCGTTCTGCCAGATTTCGTGCGTTTCTTCCGTCATGTGTTTCGTTGTTGTCGAAGCCTAGACATCTACGAGCGTTAGTAACGTTGCGTAAAGGTATTCTTGGCTTAGCTTTTTCAGACCGGGATCGTGCTGGATGGGACTTCACCCAGTCCTCACTTTTGAGTCCATTTGATAAGCTTTATTTTTGTGGTAAATTAAGATTGTCAGGGGCTTATTTCATATTTATGGTCAACTGTAGTCTTTAAAATGCGCTTGACTACAGTGTAGTAGGTATTAGAATAGCATAAAAACCCAGGCATTTTACCAAAAAGAGAATATCACCCTGACACTTTGGCAGCTTTAAAAGCATAGTCAGATCTTTTTGGTTCGTAGGCAGCTGTTGGCTTGGTTAATTAAACATGTACATGTGAAGGTATATGTATAAACTAAATCTTTGTAATCTGCATTACTTTTCTATGGCAGATGTCTTTGAACAACCTTTTATGAAGACAAATGGTTCCAGAGAGAGTCTATTCCAAACTACCCAAGTTTGTTCGTCTTGTATAAAAGCAAGACATTTCTCTTGTCAGGCTGATGTAATGGCAACAAGTCAAGTTACCACTAATGAAAGGTTTGGAATTGTTACTTAGCATACAACTCTGTACGCACCTAGTCAGCTGTATGCAGATGGTGTTGTGAGTGGGGAGGCTTTGGTTCAAACTTCAGCTGGGCCAAAACCAGTGGCGTCAAGAAAAATAAGTGGTATCAGGACATTAGCCTTGTCTCATTAAATATCCTTCTTTCATTGGTCAATTCAAAGGAGATGTACATTTGGGAAAAGTAGGGGAATTTTGGTGTGTGGTGTGCTCTACCTCACTGCACATTATCATTCATATCATAGGCATGGTGGTTTACGGTAAGCTCATAATAGCAGATAGCAGCTTGTATGCTGACATCTGAGCTTACTGTAAGCATTTTTTAATGTATAACATAAAAGGGACACATCTGCTGACCTCTCATCTTCAACATTTTGTTCATTCATTTCAGTACAGGTCTGTCTATAGTCACTTTTTATGTATATATATATATGTATATTTCAGCAGTATTGAACTTGAAAAATCCAGGAAATATCAGGCACTTCATGTAAGTAATTTAGTGCTATTGTAATTCTATTTTATTTTATGTTTTTTGTTTTTGTTTTTTGATTATCAATATTTTTTTTGTTTTCCCACATTAATAGATTTTTGAAAAATTGTAAATGCCGAGACCAGGAATGTGTTCGAGTAACTTGAACTGCTTGCAAAATAAGACATCACGTCTTTACCGCATTTGACACTCGTACACGAAATGTGAAACGTAAAAATATAAATGTTCTAGAAGTTTTAAGATCCTTGAAACATATTTCGTTCTTTGAGCCTTGTCAGTCAATAAAATTTTATTGACTTACAAGGCTCAAAGAGCGAAATATATTTCGAGAATTTTAAAACAGGCAAAGGTTAGGCTCACTGTAGTACATACATGATCTGTGGATATGTAATGCTAGTAATGAATCCTATTGACTTTTCAGTCTCCCTGTTTTAGATAATGCCCTTTTCTGTAACAGAAGGAGGAAAGTATGTAGCTCATGTGTTACTAACGCACAAGCCGAAGAAAGCAATAGTGTTTGTTCGCACTCGAGGTTAGTCATCAGTTTCATCATTAGTAGTGATCATTGTCGTCATCATCATGACGTTGATCATTCTTTGGTTTGATTTTACTTTTAAAAGCATTGAATTTAATTATTTAAATGCAATAATCATTGCTTATCCATTCATTTTGACAGTTTTGGCTGCAGAGCTTATCAGAGAACTGGAAGAATATGGCCTGAAATGCTTGTCCCTGGAGGTACGTTCTTTTTACTTTCTTCCAAGTATAAAATAATGGAGCAGAGTAAATATGTTAATAAGTTAATAAGTTAAAGAATTATCTGATCATTTCAAATTTAAATTGCTTGATGACTCTCCCCTCTGCAGAGGCCTCTTTATGTCACAGGGAGGCTGGGTAGAGTAAAAAAAAGCATGTGGGGTTTCCTGGAATACCCAGCAGTGGAGATAGGTGTGAACATCAAAGGAGAGCTTTTCATGGCCAGAAGTATCAGAAACATTTGCTAGTTTATTCTTAAATTTGTCCTTTTGTCAAAACAGTGGAATTTAGAGGTCATCTGCATTTCATGATAAGTTTCAGGGCTGTGCTCTAGCAGAGCCCAGTGGCTCCTGGGGCCTAACTTTTGCGCTCAGGCAACTAGAAAATCTCAAATCTTTCATACAAATCATATGCTGGGCACGCTAGATTTTAAAGTTTCACAGCACTGGGCTTCCTTCAATTTTCCTTAGAGCACAGCCTTGAATTTCCATGACCATTACCTCTTAGGCACTGGCTATTTCAGTCATTTGCAGTGATGTTTTGTTGACTTGATCTTTCTTTATTCTAGGATGCCACCCTTTTAGATACCTCAAACACAAGCGAAGGTGAAAATGAAGAACTGAACTCTGAGAAAATTAACGAAAATGATACTGGGTCAAGAATCACTGTGGTGGGTCAGCTATAGATAATAGTCAAGGCTGGTTTGCATAATGATCTTTTGATATTGCTGCGGTCACGAGTATCTGAGTAATGGAAAAGTAGAGTACATGTACATGTAATTGCTTCAATTAATAATTGTAATCTAAGATGCATGTGGTTTACCAAGCTACATTGTGTACACTTCAATAATGTTAATTGCAATGAAAATTGCAACCAGAATAGGTGACATTATTTTAAGGGTGGTGGGGGCCTTGTATTGCTAGAGTATTTCCATGAGATTGCTGGACTTTTTTCCAGCTTTCACAGCAATGTTAAGACTAGGCTTTTCTTAATAAGCTGATGCTAAATACACTGTAGGAGTAAATCTCCTTCCATCTCACCGTAAAATTCCGAAAATAAGCCCCAGGGCTTATATTTTTCAAAGGCCTTATTGAGGGGCTTATTTTTGGAGGGGCTTATCTAGACGGAGGGAAATTTGCGTTTCAAAACCGATTGGGCTAGCCTTATAGTTGGAAGTAAATTTACCGTTTTTGTTTTGTTTTACGTTGTATTTGAGGGCAATTTTCCAAGTACAAGCCCCCAGGGGGCTTATAATTTTTATTTGGAGGGGCTGATTTGCGGAATTTTACGGTATTTTATCTTACCTTGCTGCATTGCTTTTGCTTTCTGAAACTGACCAGAAAGCTGTATAGATCTATCCATCTTGGTTACTGGTCAAATTTGGTTTCAGATACAAATAGTTTGATTTAACCATGTTTGATTCCCAGTTCCTTTAGTCTTCTAGGGCTAGCAGATAATTGAAATGGAGAACACAGATCAACCTAAATTTTAATCTGAAAAAAAGCAACATCTATTCAAATTTCACCTGGACACCTTTGCTTTGATTCCTCATAATGCACACATATGAGTATGGGAGTGGTAGCTCACTGTTTTAAGTGAGATTGAGCAATTGGAAAGTAACATGATGAATTCCTTTTACAGATGACAGAGGGTGAAGTAGAGGCAATGGAGTCATTGCTTCCTGTGGATCTTATTCTACTTGGTCAGTGTTTGTTATCATTGTTTTTTTGTTTATTGCCGCTGTTGTTGTCGTGTTCTCATGTATTCTTACTTATTTTTGTTTTCTTTTGTAAGAAACTACGTTCAGGTAGATGTTTTAGTGGGTGCCCATCCCACCAAGTGGCAGTCAGTTGGGTTGGGAAAAAAGGTGTGACAGAAGTTTTCAATCATGGGCAGAAGATCCCCAGTGGACTTAATTTATTTAAAGCTCAGTTAATCACCATGTTTGTCTAGTTAGTTCGCAGAGTCAGTCAGTCTTGCATTTTGTTCTGATATCAATGATCTTTTCTTCTTGAGTAAAGCCTCTTTAACAAAATAGCCTGGCAAAAATGACACTTCATGTAATTTGCATGCATGAACACACAAAATGACTCCAAGGCTTGCTGTTCTCTGACTGGGCAGAATCAATCAGATCAGAATCAATCAATCTGGTACCAATCAGAAACCAGAACGGCTGTGGCCGATTGGAACGATTTCCCCAGGGGTTCTTCCCTGCTTGAAAACTTTCATTGTCAGTGCTTTTTCTCTTCACCAAGCTGACTGCCCCTGAGTCTTCAATGATGGTATGCATGCTCCTAAAAAGTCACAATTAGCCCAACTTTGATTCTTAGTCCAGCAACCCATGACTGGGAAGAGCTTCACCTTATTTTGCCTGAAAAAGACTCACACTAAAGTCAAGCCACTTGATGTGATACTACTCTATTCGCACAATGATCTGGCATTTCTGAGTCAGGTAAGAACTTCTTCCGGCACTCGTGCATTTCATTATTACCTAATGGTAAATAATCACAGATTCATTCCAAGTACCTATACCCATTTAACTGGCGGTTTCTATTGCTCACATGGCATTCAAAATATTTTTTAGTCTTTGGGAAGAAAGAAAAGTGAAATGTAAAAAATGTTGTTCTTAACATATGGAATGTCAAGGTCTTGTGCGTTTTTTTAGTTGACTTTCAGTTGTAATAGTTGTTATTTTATCTCTTAACATATCGAAAGTTAGCCTGCGAAAACATCCGTTTCTCCTCGCTCCTCGCCGCTGGGGACGTTTCGCGCGGAGAAACGGATGTTTTCGCAGTCTAATCGAAAGTCAAGGTCTTGTATGTGTGTGTTTTTTTTTTGGTTGACTTCCAGTTGCAATAATATTATTGTTATTTAATATCAATTTGTGAAATACCATTGGATTGTAGTTAAGATCTTTAGTTTGTTCAATACTTCTTTCGCTTCCCAATAATTTCATTGTTTAAAAGTAACACACTATACTCTACAAAGTTACAAAAAACGAATTCAGATAACATTTAGTGTAGCATGACATTCGACAAACCTTTTCTTGTCTTGCCCGCTGAAAAGGATCTTGGCAACATATCGCTTGCCACAAGTGAATAACCGCAAGAGTTTTTAAGCAAACGGATCGAGTTGTTAGGCCGTTAAGAATCGGACAAAGGACTTTTTGAAAGTCTTATATATAATATATAGATTTAGCCAAGAATAAAGGCTAAAATCCTTGATCTTACTGTTACTGTACTAATGTAATAATTAATTTTAGATGCAGAGTTATGTTGATGTTAAGAAGCTTTCACCACCTTCATTTTACAATGTACCAATGAGGACTGAAGGACTCCCGTCATTTCCTGGCGAATCCACGGTATGGATCATTTTTGAAAGCAGCACTAAAAAAGAATAAATAATTAAATAAATAAATAAACCCACCTTGATATGAAGCTATTGACTAAGTACAGTTTAATCTTATTGCCCCCAAAGGGTTTTCTCCGAGACCTCTCTTTCACCTCTCCTCAGAACCCAACATTTTCCAACTCTAATTCAATCAGGGGAATGGTGAATGATAAACCACTAAACATGTACTTGAATTTGCCACTAAAGAAAACGAGAGGGGAAACTGGGTCAAGTTAACGTTTGCAAAGACTTCTGGGATTGTTACTCACTGTATAGCCCGGGGAAAACAAATTGGCCATAAGAGAGATTAAGGTGGCTCCGTGATTAACACAAGAGCATTTAGCTGTGACAAATTTTCCGTCATAACTTTTTCGATTTTAACGCAATGGCTGCGAAACTTTGCCAATAACAACAGATATCATTCGGCAATAATACGAACTATTCCGATTTCATTGATGGTAAATATTTCTTGAGAAATTAGCGCTTAAAAGGACCCTACTGTTCAAAGAAAATCGCGTCTAGTAAAAAATTTTGCTGATATTTTTTACTGAAATTTCTGGTATCGGCTTTAATTGATATAATAAATATGCCAGAGGAATTTCAGAAAAATCGTTGGAGCAGAAGTCCGTAACTAAAAGTCGGTCAAAATTCAGCTGTGAAATTGTTTTGGAATTTCAAAAATAAATTACTATCAGGAAGAAGGAGACACCAGTTTCAATTTTTGGGACAAGCAACTTCAGTGTGTTTCCTGATTCTGAAAACAGAAGCCGATTGCCTATCGTGCTATTCTTTAAAAGGTAATTTTCAGTTTTTAGAAGCACTCTAAGTTGCTCCAAACTTTGCTCTGACATCGAATGACTTGTTCCTCGACATTTTTAAAATATCCCTTGGCAGTTTTGGTTCAAACTCCTGCTACACACATTTTGATGTATTGCAAAGCATCCCCAACGGCTTTTCCTGCTTTACGTTGTTTCCAATTCAGGAAAAAGGTATTGGAATTGTAAGCTACCTAGTATCGAAGCTCAGATAGAACTGTCCAGTACCTTTGTTTATGACCAGAAAATGAGCACGAGCGGCAGCTCTGCGAGGAATTCGCACCTCAGCCAGGGGGGACGAGTGACAATGATGCCCATGTCTGTGAACCGATCTGTATAAACATGTATTGCAGAGCAAAACATAATAATCAAGAAAAAAATACCCATTCATTGAAGGAAGGAGTGACAAAAATTTCAGAGTTGTAAATTCATTCACGGGCAGTATTTTTGCGATAATTTTATTTTGCACTGTGATGTTATTTGGTTCACAAGCATGGTCATCATTGTCGTTCGTCCCCCCTGGGTGAGGTGCGAATTCCACGCAGAACTGCAGCTCGTGCTCATTTTGTAGTCATAACAAAGGTGCTGGACAGTTCTTTCTGAGCTCTGATACGAGGTAGCGTCCAATCTCAATACTTTTTTCCTGAGTTGGAAGCAACGAACGGCAGTAAAAGTCGTTGAAAATGCACGGCAATACATCAAAATGTATGCAGCAGGAGTTTGAGCCAAAACTGCCAAGGGATATTTTAAAACTGTCGACGAACAAGTCATTCTACTTCAGAGCAAAGTTTGGAGCAATTTATAGTTCTTCTAAAACTAAAAAGTACCTTTCAAAGAATAGCACGATAGGCAATCGGCTTTTGTTTTAAGAATTAGCAAGCGTTGAATTTACTTTTCCCGAAAATTCAAACTGGTGGCTCCTTCTACCTGATAGTAATTTATTTTTGAAATTCCAAAACAATTTCACAGCTGAATTTTGACCGACTTTTACTTACGGACTTCTGCTCCAACGATTTTTCTGAAATTCCTCTGGCATATTTATTATATCAATTAAAGCCGATACCAGAAATTTCAGTAAAAAATATCAGCAAAATTTTTTACTGGACGCGATTTTCTTTGAACAGTAGGGTCCTTTTAAGCACTAATTTCTCAAGAAATATTTACCGTCAGTGAAATCGGAATATTTTGTGTTATTGCCGAATAATATCTGTTGTTCTTTGCCAAGTTTCGCAGCCATCGCGTTAAAAACCAAAAAGTTATGACGGAAAATTTGTCACAGTTAAATGCTCTTGTATTAATTACGGAGCCACCTTAAGCAAAAGCGTTTTTCAGCAAGGCACTTCAACCGGAAGTAAAGTCTTTTATCGTTTAATATGCCTTGACGCTACTGCATTGGTTTCGCTATGTTTCTTTAATCTTATACAGACAATTTGACCGAAAATCTTGGCAAAAACATTGTCCAAAAATGAAAAAAGGCCGCTTCCGGTTTACGTGCGTCGCTCAAAAGCGCCATTTCTTAATCTCCCTGATCGCTGACCGGCGTGTCCGTAGCAACGATTCCAGAAACAATTGAGGGACGCATTTCTGCTACAGTTCAGTGACCTTCTCGTTTCTTAAGTGACGATTGCGCTGCCTTTAAATCATTATACTGCCCAAAAATGCGTAAAGTGCACTTCTAGTTGCCGTCCGCTGCTCAAACGCGTCTTCTCTTAAGCTCCCTAATAGCTGTATCCCTTAGTTATGTTATGTTATTTTGTTATTTTTTTTTTTGGTTTGTTGTGTATCTGTTCTAGTTGTTACCTGGAAGACATCTTGTAGAGCCTCCACCTCCTCCCATCACGGCAATTATTCCGCCAAAGCTCCCCCGATCGAAAGTTTTCCGGCCTGCAGTTTCTGTACCAGTCAAGGTAATTTGAAAAGTCAATGCCATTTGCTTAACACTGTGAAGTCATCGTTAAGTGTTTCTTTCGATGTAAAGTAGCTTGAATTACCTGTAAAACGTATAACTGATTGAGAGATTCGGTAAAATGAGCACACCGCGCCGGTTGCCTCAGGTTTGTCAGTCAGATGACTCGCTATCCGTCCGTCCATTCATACGTCTAGGGTGTTTGGAGATCAAACTCGATTTCTAAACTGATGGCAGAATCCTCACTTTAAACTTGACTTTTGAACAAAATACGTAGTGGAAATTCTTGTTAATCAAAATGAAACTGAGTAAACAGAATACTTTTACTCTATTTCCTAGTAGAATTTGGAGCAAATTCTATTTATTAGAGAGGGGCGTTTCTAAATACCATCTAGAACAGCGTGGGGGGGGGGGGGGAGGGGCTTTTTTTTCGAGAGGGAGTCTTTCAGGTTATTTAAGGTAGTTGCACACAACGTCTCACTAAATAGTTTAACATGTTTAAAATATCCCTTAGGTAGCTCTTCCTTAGATCTGAATATAAATATGAACATATAATAAAGTAAGGTTGCTTCAAATAATTACCTTTATGGATTATCCGTTCTCTTTGTAGCAATCAGAACGTCACAAACTTAACGATCGTGCTCGCATTTATGTCCGAGGAGGGACTGGGGGTCAGGGATCGCCTTACTTTGGAGGCATGGGAGGGGATGGTGGCGACGTTGTTGTACAGTGTTCCCCGAACGCCACACTGCGTCACTTCTCTGTTAAGGAAAATCGCCGTATTTTAGCCGAACATGGCACATACTTTTCGTAAGTAAAACTCTGTATATGTGTTTCGCATTTATCCGTTCATTCATTCATTTATTTATTTTTATTTTATTATTATTAATCATCACACTTGCGAGCATTAATTCTTATTTCCCCAAAACGTTTAATTGCACTCCACCACTGATTCGTTACAAAGAAACTTGTCTTTCGTGGCTTATGAACTTGAATTGACCCATTTGTATAAAATCATTATTTGGAAGCATTAAAAGCGCTAGCACTAGAAAACGCTGTCCTCGCTCCTATCGCCGCTAGCGAGAGAGACATCTCTCTTCCGTGTGCCCGGGAACTTAAACTAAAATTACCTAATTTGTCACAAGTCAGAACTTAAACATTGTTTTTCAAACAGGCCGTTTAATGACCTTGGCTTTTTCCAATATTTTCAAGGGGTAAAAAAGGTAAAAAGCAGAAAGGGACTCGTGGTCGCGACACAGTCATCCCAGTCCCTGTTGGTACAACTGTGTATACAGATGAAGGCCAAATTGTAAGAGAAATGGATGAGCTGGGCTCCAGGCTTTTGGTTGCTAGAGGTGGCCGCGGTGGGTCACCAGCTACGGAAGACTGGCGCGGAGAGAAGGGCGAACGGTTCGTGATAATACTGGAATCCAGGCTGATGGCTGATGTTGCTCTTGTGGGGTAAGATTAAGGTACAGTGGAACCTCGATTTAACGAAGTGCCAAGGGACTGGGGAAACTATTTGTTCGTTAAATCGAGGGTTCGTTATATCGAACACCTCCATTTAACGAATTTTTGGGAAAACTACCAAAAATTAATGTTCGTTATATCGAGGCATAGATAATATATAAAACTTACAAAACCCAGCATTTCCGGGTGTGAAAAATTACTGTAATAACATTTCAGTACCAACCTCAGGGTGCAAAGAAAGTCAGTTTTACAGCTTGCCATTCAGGCAAGCTGAAGCTAACATTTACTAGCCCAAACATCATTTCAACTAGCCCCAAAAATGTTTTGATGAGCAGATTGATTTGACAGTACTTCTGTAATTTGAACTCCTCAAAAAACTTCACTTGCCAGAATTCACTCGCCCGATAGCAAACTCCACTAGCCCCGGGCTATCGGACACTACTTTCTTTGCACGCTGCGAGCTATATATACCTACGTCACTCGAAACTCGAGAAAAAGCAAACAAAACTGCTTAAAACTACTGTACACATAAACTTTATTCTTGTTGGTCTGTTTGGCATTCATCTTTTATCACATGCTCACATTTATTTGTTATATGGAGGTAAATTTTACGTTTGCCCTTGTGGATTATGTTCGTTATTATAACGAGGATTTCGTGAAATCGAGGTTCTGTTCCATACATTTTACTATAATTTTGGCCGGGCTGTAGAAAATCGTTCATTATACCGAGCACTTCGTTACATAGAAGCCCAGAACAAGGATATCGCGCTTCCTCGGAGACGCTACTAACCGGGTTTAGTATCCGGGATTATGCCTTAGACGCAGGCTAACATCTATTAGAAGCGCATAGAAGCTCAGAACGAATATCAATTTTTGTTTCTTTTTTCTAGTTTTCCCAACGCCGGAAAATCGAGTCTTCTTCGTGCCATCAGTAATGCAACTCCAAAGGCAGCTGATTATGCCTGTAAGTTATGCTTGCCCCTTAAGAATGGCTGTTTTTACGCTAGAGACGGATTATCCGTCTTCAAAATCCGTCAAAATTGACGGAAGAGCAGATGGATAAAATCAGGCGGATAGTCTATCCAAAATTAAGACCGTTCCATTTTCAAGTAAAGACGTATTATCTTTCTGACGCGAATTATCCAACGGATAATCCGTCTTCAGTGTGAATACGACCAGTGCAAACTAAGCCTTCAAAAGGCATTTCAGAAATCAGAAATGTAAGAAAAGTCGGAAAATTGGTACCTCACATTAGATAAAATTATTTGTCATTTCCATATGACTTGATGTAGACAGAACTGCTCGCGTTCAGGTGAGAATTAGTCTAGGGAACACTTCGTGATGTCTATCATACCGTGCTGATGGCCATTATTTCTGCCCAGTGTGGTAATTTTAATCAAAGGCCCTGTTCACATTAATGCGTTTTCTTTTGAAAACGCCTACATTTCAGTGCGTTTAGGCCTTCTGTCTACATTAATACGCTGTTCGTTTTCATCGAAAACGCATCGATTTGAAAACGCTCTTAAAAATGGATCATGGATCAAAACGTAAACGCATACATTATCGTATTGGTGTGGACAGTCGAAAACGCTGACCGAAACCATCGCAGGCCCGTGTGTTTGTAGCGTGCACATAGGAGTTCAACTTAACGTCACAACGTGCAATTCTATCGTTTTTAACCATTTTAGTGTGGACAGTCGAAAACGCATCAAAACGGTAGTGTGGACGCGAATCGATGGATGCGTTTTCAGTGACAACGAAAATGCGTTAGTGTGGGCAGGGCCAAAAGAGAACAAAGAAAGGATGCGCATCCAAAGCTATCTAACCTGAGATCAGGCCCAATTTGAGCGGTTCTCATACATTCTCTCTAACGGCTACCGCTGAAATTGGGCCTGATACAAACCATTGCAAGTTTGTGGTCGTTACGGCCAGATTTTGGCCGTAACGCTGATTAGCTGTTAGAACAATGCCACAAGATCTGATTGGCTGTCGGAAACGCCGGAAGTTGAAAGCGCTTATTCCTCGCGTGGTTGTTTTCGTGAATGATCCGTCGTCGGTGGAGAGAAAGATCGATTTTGCTGTCTTTTTTATTGTTTTATGGTCTTATGGTAGGAAAATATGCCTTAATATGTGCCATAGAAATTCGGAAAATTCATGTGGTTGTTCATATCTTCTCAGGATTTGCTTTATTTACGAAAAGTGAGTGTATCGCGGAGTTGAATCCCTCTGCAAGTTGTTGACCGCTAACAAGGTGCATTTTGATTTACCTACAAACGGGTGCAAATCAAAGTACTGTCCATCTTAAAACTGGTTTCATTTGAAAGTTTAGCCGGGAATGACTTCTCTGAACGGGGTACGCAAGCGGAGGCTCACTGCGAAAGAAACCCTCAATCGCCAACTGTGAAGTATTAGACGAAAAATATCTCATCGCTGTTCAAGGAATTTTCAGTATTCACAGACTTGTTGTTTGACTACGCTTTTTGGTAAAAGTAAACCAAGGAAACTGGTGTCCTCGCTCGTTGGCTGTTTGCTTTTGTTTTTAAAGATTTATGTACTGAAAATCGGGGGAAATTGCCAAGGAAAATATCAAGACAACGGAAAAATAGAGATTTCAGTATTTTAAATTCCAGAGCGCCTAGCCAAAAAAATAAAACTAGTAGAACATCGTGTCGCCGTCTTTTCGAAAACTTTTTACCTTCTACGCCAACAGAAGTAACCTTTGAGATCTCCCTTAATCTCGCAAGAAGTTAAATGTGATTGTGCTGACTGTTTTATTTTTAGCTGAAAAAATTAACAGATAAAAGCTATTGTTTAAGTCAGCCGGTCTGCATTTTTCCCACGCGTGAAAAATTTGCATACTAGAAAAACAAGCAACGGAAGTAATTCTGATTGGCTGATTCGGTAAATGTCAATCAATCAAAAAAGTGGGCGGCAGACATTTCATTAAAGCTTTGTATCAGTCTCTCTTTTCGTTTCGCCTTGTCCGCCGGAATGTAATTTTCAAAGCGAAACGAAAATAGAGCCTGATCTCAGGTTAAAGCTATCTGTTGTTTTCGATTTTATGACCTCTCTTTTTGAACTGTTTAAATTCATTCATAAGAATCATCATTTGCTTAATATCGTTTTACTTACAGTTACAACTATGCGTCCTAATATTGGAATGGTAGAATATGGTGATCATTCACAGGTATATAATTCCAGGAAATTAAATAATAAAAAATTAATATAATAATATTGTCGTCATGGAAACAACATACTAACTGGATTTCACATCGTTTGAATTATTGGTGTCCAATTAACTACCTATAATGTCTGCAAACTGGCTTGGCGAATTCCACTCCACCAAGACAGATGTTCACTTTTATGTCACTGTAGTTATTTTTTTTTTTTGTTTGTTTTTGTTTAAGTTGTTGTTGTTTTTTTTCAATTATTATCATGTGTTTATTTATTTGACTTTATCGCTGTTAAGTTATTATTGTTATTACTTTTTTGACAAACAAGAAAATGGATAAATTTGCCCTCACTGATAATGCTAAAAAAGTAGCCCCTCAACTAGCAGCTAGCTATAAATTCCAGCGAGAAGGGGACCAGTGTACAACTGTGTCTATGGTTTTCGCCAGTATTTGTGAAGATTTTACTTTAGGTCGAGGGTATATCTGCATGATTCTTCAGTGCTTCTATTCTGCGGGCGCGACGAATTTGAGACTGGACTCTTGAGACATGCACTTGCATGAATAAGTGACCTTATTGTTCTTTCCGCTTTGCATGTATTGTATTATTTGCAGGTCAGCGTGGCCGATCTTCCTGGGCTGATAGAAGGAGCCTCAGTTAACCGAGGACTGGGACATAGGTTTCTTAAACACACTCAAAAAGCTCGGGCCCTTGCTCTTGTGGTATGTAGTTCTTTCTCCTAGTTGGTGAAATCCTTGTCATTTCAAAGATGAAGCAGGCATTTTATAGAGAGCTTTCACAAAAATCCAGTTCTGTCGGGCATAGTATTAAGAAATAGATTAATCTTATGTCTGGTTGATAGCTCGGATTAACACCGGGTAGAATTCTCGTCACTAATAGGCTACTCTGACCGGTCAGTTCTGACTGGTCTAAGTGCCCTTAGTTAGTTAATGTTGCCGAGTTCCGTGAGCTCTTAAAAAATTGCAAGGGGTTGCTCCAGTTTGCTGCGCTTACAACTGAATATACCACGAAGCCCTGTGCAAACGGACGGAAATGTTGGCCAAGAACTCCCTAAATCGTTAGATGTCACCTGTCGCGTCCGTTGCACACCCTGTTGCATGTTGTTGCGAATTGTTGCTGAAGTTTGAAACCGGTCAAACGTTTTAGCCAACAACTCCCGACATTTCTTTTGTTGTCTGCTCGCTGAAGGGTAGCGTAACAATGTTGGACTGATCCGTTTGCTCAACTCTTCCAACAATTTTGGGGCCGCCCACGCGCATTACACATGGTTTCCAAAGTCTTATGGGTTGTATCTTTTAACGATGCAGGTTCCAAAATTATTGGGAGTTGCTGCATCCGTTTGCACGTAGCTTAACAATAGAATGCATCACATCCCATGGAATATTTATACCTCTATAGTTACAAGTATAGTGAGAATCATTCTGTCGATCCATACGAATCTCCGCAGTCAAACGAACTTAAGCTGTGAATTATCTTATTTCCAGGTGGACATTGATGGATTTCGTTTGTCAGAAAAATACCCAGCCAGGACAGCATTTCAGAACGTTTTCATTTTGCTGAAGGTATAAGATATTGGCTTTGTTAGTTTAGAATTCAGTTATTTAGGAAATCCGAGACAACGACGGGCAAGGAGATTCGCAACTATGCATTCCCACAACAAAAGAAAAAACGCACTCTAACCGTTGAGTTGTGGAAAATTTAATCGTACTTCGTTTTTGGAAAGTTGAGACATAGGCAAAACAGATTGTGCATGAAGAATTCTACTCACCAAGGAAGCAATCCCTTAGTTCCCCCAACGGTGTTACATCCACTCGTACATGTACTGAATGATGGCATTACATAACTACTTGGTTCATGCATAGTCTAGCAATCTGGGGCCAGTTGTTCGAAGGCCGATTAGCGCTTAACTCGGGGTTAAATTTAATCCGGGTTTCTCTTTCTTGTGTTCAAAAGCATTTTCTCGGATAATTTTTTCTGTTATATTTAGAGTTTTCAATCATCAACTTGTAGACAAAAAGAATTAAATCTGAAATTCTCTTTAAGCTTTTAAATCTGAATTCAAATCTGGCGCTAACCTTGGGTTATCTTAACCCGGCTTTGAACAACTCGCATAGGCGTACGGGCCGGGGGAGCGAGGGGGGCTGCAGCCCCCCCAAATTTTGGGCAACTCAGATTTTTTGGGCAGCAAGAGAAAATTTGGGCAAAGCCAACTTTTAAAGACGTTTCATGTTTTTTTATGAGTATTTTGGAGAGATAAATATTTTCTATTTTAATCTGAAGTCGGCGTAACAATCAAGTTACATTCACTCGAGACAATGGTTGCCAAGCACGTGATGAGTTTCTGTTTATAAGGGAAGGGTTTTTTTTTTGTATCGTTGGGCACTGGGCTGCAATGGGCTATTTCCAATCGGGAATTGATTAGGATAAACTTCCGCCTAACTTTCTAGGATCATCTTCGCTCGTAGAACAGTGTATGGCAGATAGGATCAGCGATTAATCTGAAAGTGAAGAAGTGGCTGACTAATTCTCACTTTGAATTACGAGAAGAATCTTAATGTTTTTTTAAAAAATCTATCAAGTGCTTCAAATTATTCACTAATTTGTTAAAGTAGACCGAAATGTTTACAAAACCGCTAACAAGAGCGCCATGATACATACTAATGAAATCCTTCTTTGTAGCAATTTTGAAATATCACTCGTGATATATGCCAAATATCACTACAAATCATGCTATTACCTATACAATGTACAAATAACTCACACACATTTTTAAAAAGATTGAACCTACTATGAGGTGAAATTGCATGTCAAAAGCGCTTCGTTTTCTACAGATAGCGGCTAAACAACAAGATTTTCCTTGTTTTACTGTATTTCTAACGATCAAAACTTTATCCCAAACTATCCCGATAACGCTCTTACAGACTCCGTTTTAACTTCACAAACACCGAGGCGACTATTGGAGGAAAAAGCTCCCGAGAACGATTTCATATTGAGAAATAATGCTGCAAGTATAATAGGTAATGGCGTCATTTCGTTGCTATGACAACTCCGATGTCATTGCAACCCTGATCATGACAAATTTTCATCTTTATCTAACACAACTGTGGTGGCAATTTTTCCAAATGTTTGTTTATGGCAACGTATAGTTTATGCTCAAACTTGGCAGGTATATATTGACCCTGAAAAACTGTATTGCGGCACTTTCGTATGCCAGTACGGCCTATGTTGTTGGATCGTATGGCCCTTGTGTCTTCTCGACTGTTTTGTAAAAATTTGGGCAACTTGCAAGAATTTTTTGGGCAAATGGTTTACCGCCCCCCCTGGCCGAAAATTGCCCGTACGCCTATGACAACTCGGCCCTTTATAGCAAATAATAGTATGTATAGCAATCTGGTATCTCTTCTTATGCGGAAAAGTCAAATGCTAATAATGCTCGTTAGCCCTTTTATGCTTAGACCAAGTTACTGTTGTTACTGAAGTGTATTCATTACTAATCTATGAGAAAATATTTTTACTTAGGTTATGGCTTTAATATTAGAGAGGTTAAGCATCACTATTTCGTCAAACGGCAAACGCAAATTTGTACCACGTGACAAAGTTTCCTCTTTACTTGTCGTTTACTGGTCATTATTTCTACACCTTAGAAATTAGTAGTTTCACGTAATTGTTGATCCATAAGAATTTTTTGAGCTGTTATTATCTGCTCATTTTCTATTTTGAGAATTTCCTAATTTGAATCAGACGTTTACCGTAAACATGAAGCTTAAACTCTCTATTTCTTATTTATTGCTGTTTTTAACCTCTAGGAACTGGTGTTATATGACAAGGAATTATTAAATAGACCCAAGATACTCATTGTTACCAAACTTGATAAGAAAGGTGCGACAAGCAGATTTCAAGAGTTGAAGCAAAGATTGAACTCTGTTCAGGAACACGGTAAGCCTAACGCTGAATGAAAAAGTCCATGGGAAAGTCCAGTTACATGTTTTTATGTACTTTGTTATAAAATTAGGTAACAAAAAGAAAGTTACTTGTCATGAGTTAGATTAACCAGGGTCGGCCACGGGGGGTAGTGGTATACCAGTATACCCGAAAAAAATTCGCCAAAATACCCCAAAATACCCAAAATTCATCCAAATATACCCAAAATTATACCCAGGTATACTTTATACCTGAAATTCAAAGAAAGTGATATACCGAATACCCGTATTTAAGCTGCAATATACCGTATACCCGATTTAAAAAGCCCCTGTATACCGTATACCCAAAAACACTGGCCGACCCTGATTAACGACCAGCTTGCACCCATTTAGGTGTAGTAGAAACGATGATAGCAATGGTAAGTTCTTTTTATGAACCCCAGCTGCAAACCCTTACAGTAATTAGCCTGTGGCGCATTGTAGTCCTGTTTCTTTATTGTATCGTGTTTTCAATTTGTAGGAACACTACTTTCCATCTTACAAAAAATACGTTCAGACAGTCCAGTGCCTCAGGAACAAACAGATTTAATGGCTATAGCTGACAAACTGACCAGAACTCGATTCGATTCTATATTACCTTTCTCCGCTTTTACGTCATTTGGTTTAGATGATGTGCGGGATAAGATGAAAGCCGTGCTTTGAATAAAAGTAATTCTGGAAGATGTGTTATGCTGATTGTGTAGAGGTTAAATAAATAAATAAATAAATTCGTTATAACTTGATGTGTCAATGATGTCAGTCTTGATATCTTTCTTGTTTGTTAATTTAAGTTACTTCAAGACGCGCCGTCCAAGAGTCTTAGTAAATGGCCACCAAATTAAAAGTAATAACAGCTTAAAATACCTGAAGGAAGATTTAACTAACAGGGAAAATGCAAAGTAAGGCATATGTGGATAGAAGATTACAACAAGTTCATGACTGACAGTTTTTTCAGCATTTAAGAAGCCTTTATGGCCCTTATCTTTCCTTCTAAGACCATCATTTGCAGTAAACGTATATTGAGTTTTATTTTTACTATTTTGTTAATATGTTGTTGCTGCTGTTGTTATTGAGGATGATGTTGTTTTGGTTATAATTAATTTCAGAAATTCTATTCATTTTTGGTTTATTTCGAGGCTGTAAAGGTTACTTTAAGCTCTAGTAATCAAAGCGCAGGTTATTCTAAAAGGCAAGTTTAGATATTTTTTAGTTTTAAAGTTATTGTTTTTTTGTTTGCTTGTTTTTGCCTTTTTTGTTGCTGTTGTTGTTGTTGTTTTTGCTGCCCAAATGACGTGGTGATATTAAAGTCTTTGCATAAATAATGTTATTTAATACTTCCGCGTAAAATACATGCAAGGAAACAGCACTTTCTAGTTTAAAATTTCGTATTAAAAATTAATCAGTTTTGACTTTTAAAACTGCCTCCAAACGTTTCTTCAACTAGACTTTAAGCTATCAGACACCTGAAAGATACTAAGGTATCGCTTGAAAGACAAATATTAACATTAGATCGTTGGTCTTCTCTTTGGAATATTATAATCTGTTTTGATTTCGAAAGGGTTGTGTTATGTTTTTGTTAGCAAACATTTGCCGTGATGTACTTATTGAATTGATGCTGATCACCTTTTTAAGAAGGCTGAACTCGTTACGCTGGAATAGTGAATTTGAGAATGCTGCAAACTGAATGGAAAAGGGAAAAAAAGAGACGTAAAGTTCTACCTAGTTAAAGTTCTCATCAGTTGACTTTGTTTTTAAATCATTTTACTCAATAAATAATTCAACAACAGTTGAAATATCTTGCAAAGATATTCAAACGAAACCCAACGGAAGAAGCTAAATAAATGTCTGAGGGATATTGCCGAAACTTTTTTCTTCCTTTGACTAAAGCAAGAATTTCCAACTCTGAAAATGCTACTGGAACGCACAGTCGTTAACTTGTTTAACAATAATCTCGTAGTTTCTTTTTCCATTGTTTTTATACACCACATATCCAGCCTTTGTCCCTGACTAATATCACTTACAAGCTGTGATTGGTCAAGTTAAAGCAAACCAATTATCTTGACAACGGAAGACTACATCAGTGACCACCACAAATCAAAGTTTCAGAGGCAACTACAGTGATCGTTCTCAAGGTCAAAGAATTCTGTCTTGAGATGGAGAAGAAATTCGACTTCAAACCGTTGCTCACTGATTCGCAAGATAGCCAGGGTTCCACCCCTTTGAGGATATTCTCCATTTCAACCGCTAAACCGGAAAATATAAAGTTTGAGGAAGAAGAAATGGATCTTATTAGTGGTGGCAGCGATGTTTCTAGTGTCGAAGAAATTGCACAAGAGAGAAACGAAAATCCATCGCATGCATGGACCGAAGGAAACTGGGCCTTTCGGAGAGATGACATGGATGAAGACCTGCCATCATTCGAAGCGCGCTACGAAGCCATGAAAGAAATTTTTCCGTCGCTTGGTGAAAACGACGGACGAAGCAGCCGCTTAGAGACGCTAAAGACCCCTGATGGGAGCAAAGTTGCGTTTGGCGAAGCGGACAAAAACGATAGAGACGAATTGTATGCGAAGCTTCGGGAGGCTGTCGACAAAAGAGTCTCTGAGAATGTATCGAGATTGTCCAATCCCAGTTTGGTGTCTGGCGATTTCCTTTCTATACATGAAAACGGCAAACCCAAAACGGCGCCATCGTCTGTTGGAAAAATTGAGGCTGAGAAACAGTACTTCTTTCCTGAGCTTCGAAATCTGATAGAAGGCAGAATAGAAGAAACCAAAGTTGACACGTTGGCCAACCGAATAGAACGAGAGCTGATGAGGAGGCAGCATCTTTGCAACGAGCAGGCTTTGATGCTGCAAATGCTTATGAACCGCGTCCAAGATCTGGAGAAGCGCGGGCCACCCAGACGAGGAGCAACTCCTGTTCACACTTCGTCACGAGCGTCCCGTGGAAACCGGTGCATGTGCTACCACACAAGCAACTACATCGTGGAGAAGGCCACGCAGACTCCCAGTGAAGTCCACGACGCCGAAGGGGTGTATGTCATGGTCGCCCGAAATTCCGGGGCAAGAGCTAAGAAGGTGCAGAGAAGGGTTGCTTATGGCTACCCTGAACGAGTTACCGAGGAGAAAAAAGTGTCGGCGCTTTTAAGTAGAAAGATTGTTACTCAGCAAATAGAGTTTTTGCCACCAATCCCTGAACCTTATGCCAAAAAGCGACCTCGAGACACAAAGAAACCAGGGTGGCATAGAGTGTGATAGCGGCGCAGACTGGCAGTTTCCTTATGATCAAAACTAAAACAAAAAGACGGAAAATTTCGTTTATTGAATGATGACAGGTCCCTAATATCTTTTAAGATTCCGTTTGCATGGGTATATCGACTTAGGGTATACATGCACATATCGGCATCCCCCTCGCATTTTTAGATACTTATAACCGTCAGGAGTAGCTTACTTAGTTTGTATCATGCACAGATAGCGTAACTGTCCAGGTCGATAAGCGATCTAGAGGGGGCTGTTTTGAGACTTAAAACGTTATTATAAGTGGTCACTACTCTTAGTTACACAGCTTGTTTTTGGCCTGCTCTTTCATTGAAACACGACCTATTATATTAGAACAACTGGATGGTGCGATGAACTTGGAGCATGGACCTATGAAACCAAAGGAGACGATGCCCAAATGACAATACCTTTTGAGCCCACATATTTTTTAGTCTCTAACTGGCAAGCGGAATTCATTCCACACAATTATTTACATGATAATGCCTGAGCATTATCCAAGGCGCTCTTAAGAATAATGACCGAGCGCGTAGTGACCATTGAAGTGGAACAGTGGGTTATTATTCGTAATTGCTGGTTTGCACGTGACGTCACGGCGGTCATGTTGGTGGTCAAGAACTAAGCATTTCTCCCCTCTGAGAACTAAGGGACGGATCATTAGAAAAGTGATTGGGGGGGGGGGGGGAAAAAAAAAAAAAAAAAATTCATGCAAGGGAAAATGCCAAGAAAAAAATTCATGCAAAGAAGAAGGTAAAGAAAAAAAATTCATGCAGAAGGAAGGTCCAATTGTGACTTTTTCAGAAAGTCTGATTTTTACCAGGCACATTATGAATAAACAAAAATCACTTTCTTCTTATTGAAAGGAGACAATTAGAACCTTGTTTTTGTTTTAAATTGCAGCTAGTGTACCTACAACATACACTGTATACTGTATTATAATAAAAATAATAAAATAATATTTGTAATAAATGAATATTAAAATGTGGTAGCTTTGTAAATATTCTATAAAATTATTTGTGCCCACAATAAAAATTAGAGGATGGGTCTTGCCGCCTTGAATAAGAATTCTATAATAGAATGAAAAAGTGCATTCACACGTAGTAGTAAGTGTTAAAACTTTAACCGTCAACGACATAAACAGCAACACTGCCACCGGTAATTTTAACAAAAATTAAGAACCACAAAGTATGGTTTTCATTTGCAGTCAGTCCACCTGCAACATACAGTGTATCCTGTATTATAATAGATTTCATAAATACATTTAATCATCCATAAACAGTTTCAGTATTAAACTTTTCAACATATAAAATCTATAATAAAAATATAAATATTAGAATTTGGTATCTTTGTAACTATTCTATAAAATTATTTGTGCCCACAGTAAAATTAGAATCTCAGAGAAAAAACACCAAGTAAGAGAGAGAAATATGAGCGACACAGAGACTTCCCAAAGTATCCTTGACAACAACGGTCTACTCATAACCGAACTAGCGAACGAAGAACCAGACCAGGAAGTCGAGGACGAGCTATTACAATCTGCGTCAGAAGACGAAGATAAGGATATTCAATCTCCAACCCCACCGAACGAGCCAGCGAACAGACTTGCGAAGAAATCAGGACAAAAGTCAAGTAGAAAACGCCCTTTTGTGAGAGAGAACCGAGTCAGTCACAGTAAAGAACGCTCTGCCAAGATAGCCCGCCATACGCGCACAAACACCAGAAGGACGTTTCAGGGAGGTGCAAAATGTATCCCACCATTCCTTATAATGTCAGTGGACATCTTCGCCCGTCAGGGCATTTTGACAGAATGCAGCCAGCTACCAGACTATGGGGAACTCTCACACAAAAGGTGAGTCTTACATTTATTTATTTAGTAAAATGTAGCTTAAGTTCATTTAAGTCATTACAGAGCACCATAAAAATTAAATAACTTTTAACAGTCATTTTAATATTTCACTTTTACTAATCAGGTACCTTCTTTTTGGATTGACATTTTGGAGTGGAGGGCACTACAGAGGGGCTGTTTTGGTGAATAGAGTATGGCATCATTATGATGGGCTGTGAGAGATGAATGCCAGAGGGCAGGGACTGAAAAAGTGCACAGGGAAGCCGTCCACTCCAAGTTGCTTCCTCCTCTCTCACTGTGTGTACATTTTAGCAACGATTTTGCATGAAAGTGGCCTGTATCCTTTGATCTGTTGTGAGTATAGAATAATTTATAAAGCACAAAAACATAGATAATAAATCAAGATTTCACTGTTCAAAAGAAAACAATATTTGTCTGAAAAAAAAATTCGTGCAGAGGGGTTCACCTGAAAAAAAAATTCCTGCACAAGCAATGAGCGACAAAAAAAAATTCGTGCAAGCTGAATCCCCGCCCCTTTCCATCACTTTTCTAATGGTCTGTCCCTAAAACCCTACTTTCATGTAAATTCTGCAAGAAAAAAATTCCGTTTTATTGACCACCAACATGGCCGTGGTGGCAAGCCATGACATGAATAATGACCTCCTCTTCTAACTTACTGACCTGGGCCGAGTTGTTCAAAGCTGGGTTAAGATAACCCAGGGTTAGTGCGAGATTTGAATTCAGATTTGAAAGCTTAATTTTAATTCTTTTTGTCTACAAGTTGTTGATTGGACGCTCTAAAAATAACGGAGAAAATTGTCCGAGAAAATGCTTTTGAACACAAGAAAAAGAAACCAGGGTTAAATTTAACCCGGGATTAAGCGCTAATCGGCCTTCGAACAACTCGGCCCTGCTGTTTCATTTATTTAAAAAATGATCTGTTCAGCCACGTGCTGCCAGAAATAAAAATGATGTTACACGAGACGATTTATAACGAAGATTTTTTGTGCAACAATGTTGGAACAAGATGACATGATTTCTGAATAAAGAGTTACTTGATCCTAGATAATATTCAACGGCTTCAAACTCCAGGACAAAAACGTTTAGCACCCACAAGCCTTCGATTCAATATGGGAAGCTTTATTATCAAGTCATGCGGTTCGACTGTGAATCACATGAAAAAACGACCGGGTAGATAACGTGGAGCTCGTAATCGGCGTCCTGATTCAGACAGGATTTCCGCCTACCCATTCCTCCCCCCTTTGGCTTTTGTCTTAAACGTGTCATCTTCTCACGCAAATGACTCAGTGAGATCTGATGGACTTTTGCGAGGGAAGTGTCACCGATACATGTAAAGGGCATTCCCAATATCATTTGCTTTGTCTGCTAAAGGATGATACACCAAACGAACAGGAAACAAGATGCACATAAAAGTGGGGTTTTTGTATGTAGTTTTATTATTTTTTTTGTGTTTGTGAAGCTTTGTTGGAGCTCACACACACAGGTTACAATTGATCTATCGATACAATAAAAATCCATTTAACTGAAGAACGCCAAGATGATTGCAGCCAACGCGTATATCGTGATTTCTTTCGTGCCTTATATAATTTCTTTGTTTATTTTTACAGCATATTAATCGTACTAAGTATTTTCAATCAAATTGCTAGATTTGCTAGATAATTGCTATCTAGAGAGACTAATGCCCCATTCACACCAACTAACTATCTTTAATTAAACCGGGTTGCAAAAAATGTGAAACAGTCAAAAGCCGAGGAAGATTGGAACGCCGACATTTGTCCAAAATTCCGAATAATCTTTAACATTGCCTGCAATTTGTTATTTGTTTAGCTGATCAGCTTGTAAACATGTTTAAGCTTTGGCGTGAATGAAGCATAAGTTCTATACCAATGTTCTTCTTAACAATGCCTTTAAGAATCGATCCGCTTTAAAGGTACACTTTAAAAGAACATATTTTAAAAACATTGGATATATAGGGTGTATATTACTGTCATTGTGTTGTATCTAATGAAATTTATTGGCATCATTAACAAAAAATTCGATCAGCGTCAGCCGCTTATGAATGGCAATCAAGCAGATCAGCAATAGATAAAAAGCAGTAGAAGAAAATTGAAAATATCTTAATAAAGCGCCTGAGCACCGGTTATCTTCTCTACCCAGTATCCAATAATTAAAAATACGTATAATACACGCTTCATCTTCCCTATCGAAATTTTAATTGTTTACTTTCCAACTTACTACCGCTACTGATTTTATTTAACTGTACTAGATGAATAATCCATTGGACCCTAATTTAGGCTATAAAAGCATTTAAACCATGAATCAACAAAGAGTGATTTTTCTTTACAAAATCGTAATCAACAACTGGTCTCGCCCAGCTTATGGCAGCGGCTGGGATCGTTATCCGTTTCTGGGAAACTACCCACCTACCCCTACCCTAAGCCAACATTTTGCCCTAAGTGAGAAGTAAGTGTTAATGTCTACTTTGGGGAGGGGTAAGTGCGCAGTTTCCCAGAAACGCGTATAATGATCCACAAGGGCTTGCCTGGGCTGTGTCGTTAAGGGTGTAATTTGATGGGGCATCTACCATCACTATGTCTGCCCAGAGGGTATCATTTCATTAAGTTTACCTTAAAAGATAAGGTTTCCTCAGGGTTCATGAGGCGTCCGACCTATCATTAAGCTATGAAATAGTATACATATTAGAGTCTACAGAAGATGTACAACATCATCCTTCTTTGATATTCTTTAAAATCGATATCCCTTTAAATCTTCCTAGTTATGTATTTTAATGTAGTTATGTAAGCTTCTTCTTAATTGTTTTGTCTTCCAACTAAAGATATATTGATGGAATTGTTTACAAAGTTTCTTTTTTCAGCTTTATGGTACATGCAACTACCTATCCTCTTCCTATGATCGTCGCGACAACTACATTCTGTCACTTAAATCCTTTTCTAACTTTAATTTCAGCTAAGCAATGGAATACACTGCCTTAATTTTTTCGCACTAGTGTTTTTTGAAAATTTTAAGACCATAGTACAAGGTTTTACTGCCTTCATACAAATTCTTTTTACCTTGTTCTTTATATTTATACTTGTACTATTTTTTTTTCTTTCTAAAGGTGCATTTTCTAATAATTATATTTAGATAACGCTGTAAATATTAGCTTCTTTAAGTGTAGATATTTAACGCACTTTATATATGTTTTGCTTTTTCGTAGAGATTAACTCTGTTATCTACTCTAAAATTTGAGTGTAAATGTGTGTATGTAGGTGTGTATATATCAACCGGTTATTAAAGCTATCTATAACGAGAAACTGTTTCATCTCTATTATTTACAGGGCAAGCAAGCACCAAATAGAACTACATCTATACGGAGTATCAGTGTCAATAGCTACAAAGGCACTAACATCCTAAACACAGCAAATGCCTCATGCACAGACATCATGGCTGCTTACCATTTACACATATCACCTGGGTAAAAATATTAAATGCAGGAACGCAAAGTATATCCAAAACAGCTGAACATACCAAAGTCAAGTAAAGTCATCAATTGTGTAAAATACGCTCACGTATCTGTGAGAAAGATCTCAAGTTACTTTGTAGGTATTAGACATTAAAATAAGATAGAAAAGATAATAATAATAGTTGACATATATACAAAATAACCTATCGAAAAGATGAACTCTAAAAAGTATTTACTTAATTCTTGAAAATTTCACAAAATAAGATAAAGCTAAAACTATTTAAAATGCGATAGACTGGTAGAAGTGGTATGTTAATTACAGTACACCTGACAATTCCAGTTCTCTAATACTATTTCTAAAAGCCGTGAAAATGGTATGGTTCTACATGAATTGGACATTGAATTCCATAGTTTTGACGCTGTAAACCGCCACGATTTAAGACCGTATGTTAAAGAGTCTGTCATTTTCACATGGGCGATAATGCACCTTGTTTTGGCGAGTAATTCAGATTATGGGGAGTTTGTTTTTCATTAGAGACGAAACGAAGGGTACGCTCATTTATACTACTACATGAGAAATTTCTGCAATTTGATTGGCTTACAGCAGTGGCATTTCAGCTTAATTTGAAATACCTACATGTGAAAATTACAAACCTTTTGAGGGTAGTAGTAGAAAAAAATAATAGCATGATTTGTACGTTATATTTGGCATAAATACCACTTGTGATATTTCAAAATTGTCTCAAATTTCACTCGCCTAACGGCCAGTGAAATTACGTAAAACAATTTCGAAATATCACGCGTGGTATTTATGCCAAATATCACTACAAATCATGCTATTACCTACACTAACAAGCATTTCGAGTTCTTCAGTATTAGGAATAGCTGTGTCTTCGCAGTAGAATTTCGGCATAATTGGTGTAAGCCCATAAGTATTGCTAAACTTACAGCATAGTTATTACAGGAGAATGGTTATGAAAAGCGACAAACTCGATGACAAAGACAACAGTGCTGCAATTTATGTTGGAAGCACTCTGAAAGTGCACAATCCTTTGTTTCCTGTTGGCAAATTGTTACGGAATATTTTGATGCAACGTTTTTATTGGTCAATACAATCAAAATGAAATGAATGCTTTTGAACGTTGTGCACCTTCAGACCCACAAAAACACACAACAAAGGAGTCTGACGGGTTCATAACCATTTCACTCAATTAACTATGCTTAGAGGGATTTCCCTCTCTTCATGCCGTTTTCCTAGTACCGGCCAACGATCGACATTAGCAAGATCTGCATTGATTCGAATTTCTCTGGTTTACTATCCGCGTCAAATGTTTGGGCATAGTCAGCATACAAAGGATAATCTGCTCTATTTCAAAGCTTCGTAAAGATATTAATTCCCGCTGTGATTCATTCCATTTTCAGGACTGATCATCTAATTTTTGAGGACTACTCACCTAATCAAACCCGCTGACGTCGACTATATTGTAATCATGAACTAGGTCGGTGGTCAGCTCCATAGGATTTAAGCTTCTTCACTATCAGTTTATGTGGCAAGGAATTGAATGTTTTGGAAAGGTCCATGAACGCAATTCCAATGATATTATGTTGGTCCAGTTCCTTTCTCCACTGTTCTGCGAGGTTGAGTAGAGCAGTATCCGTTCCAGACTTTTCCCTGTATCCGAATACGTTGGTGAAAAAATACTTTCAAAATAAGGGCGGATATCTTGAGCGAAGTAAAGTTCCAAATACTTTCGACAAGAACGGCAAAATAGTTATCGGCCTGTAGTTAGACTTGGTCAAGCAGCAATCCTCCTTCAAAAACTGGTGAGACTTCGTGAAATTTCCATTGTTGACGTTCGGACGTACATACAAATTCATACCCCCACCGTGGTACGAGGGGGGGTGGATGGACCCCCCTAGAGTTCTTGATATGTTGCAGTAATTCGAAAAGATTTTTCTTTCAGTGGAAAGCCTTTGCCTTCTCTACAAATTGAGGAATATTTCATGAGTGGTGGCGCTGCTGAAGGGCCTGTGACGTCACCATCCATGGTCGCATTTTGGATTTTACCACGAATTAGAAATCAGGTTAAAACCGCGAGAAATGGTGATTTTTTGTGCTTGAGATGAAAAATAGCAAATAAATAAGTATTTTGCATGATTTTAGTCTCAAGATTTACTTTTATTGTTGAAAAAACTTTTACTCTTCACACTTGTACTTTCACAAAAATGGCTTGACCACCCCTAACTTATGACGTCATTTCCCGTAACCATTGAAACTGACAATCACTGAACTTGACTCAAAATGCGCGCGAGGGATAAATGAAGAGCTACCGAAAACATCAGATGCTAATGTTTTATCCTCTAGGAGAAAACTCAGAAAAACTCTAGGGGGTGGCATCCACCTTGTCCCCCCCCCCCCCTTCCCTCGTACGTCCCAGGGTTTAAAAATTCGCTGAAAGGGCACATTCCTTTAATGGCTCTTGGTGAATTACGATCACAGTCCGTTGTCTTGTTTATTTTGATCTTCATCATAGCTTCTGTTACTTCGAAGGAGTTTTTTTTTCCTTACGGACAAAAGAGGTTTAGGAGTATATCAAAGGTCCGGGTTGACGTTCGCACCTTAACTATTTTATTAAGTATGACCCAGACTTGTGAAAAATGACTCCTGGGTTCAAACCTTTCAAACGTGTGAAAACGTCCTTCAAAGTCTCTGCCACCTCGGTCCCTTATGATACTTCCATTGTCCTTCAATACAATGCGCCAGTAGAGCCTATTGCTTGATCGTACTCCAAAAACGTTTAAGATAGCCCTGTAATGTCTTTCTTCTCACGCTGACAATTTTACTTCTGATTAATTGGTACCCTTCCCAGTCTTCAGAATTTCTGAATTTGTTAAATTTCTTCTTCAGACGATCGCGTTCTCATTCTCTTGGCGAAAATCTGGTGCAATGAATTTCAATCTTGTTGAGATAACAGGTGTGTGGTCATCAAGAACAGTCCATGTTAAAGAGCTTTAGATTCTAAGACGAGGAAACTACGAGTACGAGATTTAATTTAAAGTTTTTTTTTTCCCATCTCGCAAGAATAATAATAGCGCGTTTTTAATTATTATTGTTATTATATTTATTTATGAGGGTTTGTCCCTCTCCAGGTTTCAAAATGTTTAAACTTCTAAAATTTGAATGACGATGGTTATCACATTTGCCCGCAAAAATCACTTAACTTCACGCGCGTGTACTACTTAATATTGGGAAAATCTCGTTCTCGTAGTCGTCCTCGTTTTCCGAACGGAATGGAACGAACCATTTGATTTTCAAACCAGAACAGTTCCGGTGGCAGGTGGCCCATGTTTACTGTTCTGAACCTTCTGACTGCTGGAACAGCGGATGGCGACATATTGGGCAGGTACGTCTGCAACAAACAAAAGATATCAATAAGAACGAAAAAGAGCCTTCAGACTCTCTAGGGAGGGTAAGTACAAGATTTTGGTATATTCAGAGTTCTAGGGTCGTTTGGGTGGACAGGCCTTAGTTACGATTGGTCGATGGTATGCAAGGCAGCCATTAACCAATGGTAATTGAGTAACGTTTGTCCACCCAAACAATCCCAGAAATCGTTGCGTGTGCCGAATGTTTTTACCTATTCCCCGTATAGTTTCTAGAATGGGGAATTAACAAAAAACAAAAGACGTCCGTCGGGAGAAACTATGGAATCGAGGTCTTGGTGGCGGAGCAAAAAACAAGCAGAACGAGCGGGTAAGATTTTGAAAATCACTCTTTTCACTGTGCTACTCATTGCATTCTGATCGATCGATATTTCATGGAAGTATGTTTCTTGGAATTCTTAGACTAGTAAATGTTTCCAAAATGTGCTTCGCGCTCAAAATAAACTATACTGAGAGTCTACAAATACTAATCTTACACGTTTCATTCATTGGTAGTTTTCGTTGAGATCTCGAAATTGAAGCTGGAATTGAAAATTCCATGTTTTATTTTTACTCACATTCCGTTTTGAATCATAGCTATAGCACAGTCCTTGTGCACTTTATGGGAGCAAGGGAGAATCTGACAGCCACTGAAAGCATCCTGTCATTAAAAGGAAACAAAAGTTGTTCAGTGTTTATGTACGAGTAAACATAATTAACATTTAATAAGAAGTGTAATTGTACTTAGTGCCGAGAGTATATAAGGAGGTAACTATCCGAGCGTTTTGCATTTTTTCCGAATTATACCTAACTAATGTTGTCGTATTCGTAATGGAAGAAATAAATTGTTAAAACCCTCACTTTAACTTGTCAATTTTTTTTCCACCTAATTAAAGACACAAATAGCCATGCACATCTTGTGTTAAAGCGTTTTCAGTGAACTTCAACATTGCCAAACATCTCTTTCTTTGCTTTTTTTCCTTCTTTCATTCTCATATTAAATCATATCCTACACCATTGCCCTGGTACAAGCAGAGACAATCAGTGGATCGAGAAATCTGCCTAAATAACTGGACAAAACAGGACCACGTTGGGAAAATTGCTAAGAGAAACTAGCAAATTTTAAAACAAAAGCTATAAAGTCAATTTGGAATGCCCAGGTTTACGTTAAGTAACTAAAATTTTATGTTTTACCTCCAGGCAAATGCAGCATTCATCATGGCCGGAGTCTGGTCGGCATTTGTGTTTCCCTTGAAGTCTTTTGTCCAAGCAAACGTTGCACACGTTACAGTGGAAAGACTTGTCACGATGGATTCTGTGCCGTTAGAAAATAAATTGTTTTAATGAATGAGAAACCTGATATTATAATGAAAGATAAGTTGCCGAATGTACTAAACAGCACGAAGAAGCACCATAAACAAATAAAAAAGGAGATTTTGTTTGCTTTTTTTTTTTCAAATTTTATCCCGTCTGTTGCAGATTCTGGTACCACCACGGAAGGGGCGCATTGAGTGGTTAGTTTGAAGATAGAATAAGGATTCTCCCAACTACCGCCGGGTCGCACTTCCTATCTCTTGTGAACACAAACTGGACCGTGTTGAAATGCCTCAATCTACCAAGACAAAGTTTCAGGTACAAGGGAAGTGGGGATATCAATCCAAAGGTGTCGCCTGGTAGTACAGAGATAATGAAAATGGGGTTGTTTTTGGAAGGCGGACTTAAAAATTCCCAACTATTACTACTTGTCCGTCCCCCTTACTACGCAGCAGTAGAGATTTTATATTGCTCTTATTTTTTCGAGTGCATGGATGACCTCAACCCAAAAATACCTTCAAAGCCCCTTTCTTTGGCGATTACGTGTTCTTTCCACGTCACATTTGGAGCAGATAAAAGGATGTAATCTTTACACTTCATATGTGTACCACTGTAAAAGCATTAGGCATAAGTCAATGCTAGCAGACTGTTATCAACAGCGACTTAATGACGTCAAAAAATATTTGGATTTGCCCTTTAAAGGTTTCGCTTTTTCCATTTCATTCAATTGTTTTTTTTAATCAACATCTTGGCTAGATTTTAAAGGTGATTCTCGTTTGATGTCGCCATAATTCCGATGTAGAGCAAATAATGGGGAATACCGTATGGATATTGGAAACCGCTTTTGTTCTGCGCTGCTCTTAAAGCATGTACGAGATCATGTTATTATTTTTCCACAACTGCTATATACCACCTTCGCGTACCTACAGATACCACACTTGTCACAATGGAATGGATTCTTGTCGAGTGAGGTAAAATGTTTACAGATTGCGCAGAAATAATCCGCCAGTTTTAAGTTACAGCCACGGCACTTTTGACTTCCTTCATCGATCTAAAGTTTTTGAATATGAGAACGTTTGTCAGAATAATAACTTGCACTGGCTATGTTTTGAAAGGGACAATATTTACAACATCACAAAAAGGTGAACAAATCATGTTCTATAGACATCAAATATTTTAACTACGACATTCTCGACGCGGTGAATCTAGCGACACAGTTGAACAATGAACAGGTACAAAAAGTAAATGATTGAAGCTAAGTGTGGAGTCAACTCTCCTGAAGACTCTATAAGAGAGAGATCTCGCTAAAACGGACACCTAGGGATTGTCGCGCGTTTCTTTACTCCTGTTTATATGTGATCTGACTTGATTACAGTCGAGTACAATTAATAAATCTCCGGAATCTGTCACGTTACCTTAATCTGAAAACTAGATATTTCATGATCTTACCACTTGTTCGTGGTAACAGACGGTACATCTGATATGTGTAGCGTTTATGGCCCTTGCTTGGTCATCAGTGCATGCGGCCGACTCATTGTGACATCTGTGACAGGGATAGAAACGCCCGCAGCATGGAAAACGGACAAGGCATCGCCGTTGATAATGACCGCATGCAGGACGCGGGCTTTCTTGCACTGGCGAGGTATGGTCGTCTACCTCGGTGTCCGTGGTTCGCTCTTTCCTCGGGAGAGAGGCTGCTTGTTCTGCTAAATATTCTTCGCCGTCAGTCCCGGTACGATCACAGTTCCGACCCACTGCTTCTTCTTGTATACTTAATTTTTCTGTTTGCTGGTCTTTGTTTTTGTCTTGTTTTACTTGCTCTTCGCTGACATTGATCGAAGCAAAGAGATTAACAGTTGCTGACATGACCATTCGAAGACATTCTAGGAGAGATTCTTGATTTGAGTCTGGCTTCAATTCGCTTACACCAACGGAGTGTTCTTCAGTACAACTTTCTGAATGTTCGGGGGCTTCACCTTGGCTACCCTGTTCAATCATGTATTTGTCTGCTAGTGAACGCATTTCTTGGTAAGGACTGTGTGTTGATGAGTCGTCAAACAGTGGTTCACAAACTTGCAGCAAAGTTTCTTGATCGAAGTGTTTCGCGCTATCACTGTGGTCGCTAGCAAGGAGATTACCTCGTCTGACGTAGTGTTCTGAATTTACTGGTGGAGATGGAAAATGCCAGCTTTTGTCCTGCTTTGGGAAAGGAACATGGCTTATAGTCCTTGAAAGGACAGAGCCCTCGACACTACTGCTACCGGCGAAAACATTCCTTTTAGATGAACGTCGACAGCTGCTTTTTGACAAGTGGCTATTTAGGGGCCCGTAGGCTGCTAGCCTGTGCATACTGTTTACAGTGCCGTAAGTTCTAGCTGAAAAGTAATGCTCCTGAGTATTGCTTTCTCCAGGATCGTCCCACGTTGCCCCATTGACGTTGGTGTTGTATAATCTAGATGTTAGCAGGCTGTTGTTGACAGCATGGCGCTCCACAAATTCAGGATCTAAACCAGCGCCGATTTCCACGGGTGGATAAGCATATGTTAAATCGACTCGACCGGCGCTGGGAGAATAGCCGTTTCCTGCTACAAAGAGACTCGGCTTTGGTCTCGCGCCACCAAAATTAAGGTGCGAGTGACTGATATCTGTGCTATTTGAAGACTTTTGCTCTACAGGACCATCGATTACATCAGGATATCCAAAATTGTTCGGACAGTAATTGTGGATGTGTTTCCGCTCGTCGATATTCTTTAAACCAACAACGCCTCCGTCTGCTCTGCGCCCTTCGAGAACTATTCCCTCCTCCTTGGCATTTGGCTGGGAAGAGCCCACATCTTTTAAAGCAGGATTGACCCTAACATGTTCAGATCGTTGCGAAGAGACCTCTGGTGTACACCCATCAGCTACTACATCACCCCCATAAAAAGTAGGTTGGGAATCGTGTTGCATCCAATTTTTGCTAATGTAGTCTACATTTGACAAGGCTGGACCACCACTAAATACCTCTTCATTTGTTTCCAAAAAAGTTCTACTAGAATTATTATCCTCTGAAGCACTTTCCCTCAGGAACGAAAATGAAAAACTACTGGTTTCCACTTTCTCTCTGTCTTGTGTGCTTGAATTGGGTGAGTTGCAACCGTCGATTACATCTTCGCTTGCTTGCAGGGAAGGGTTTGAGGCATGACGACCTGAGGCTAAACAGCTTTCCATGGGGAGTAGGACACTATTTTGTTCCCTAGATGTGATGGAAACTTCTTCATTCCCACCATATTTGGCGTCGTTTTTACTTGATTTTTTACAATGACTTTCAATATGACTTTCGGCTCTCCTCACTGACAGCTCTGTGACTGCCAATGATCTGGTTTGATCAACATTGAAATATGCGACGTTTTCCTCCAAAGAACGAAATACTGCAGCTTCTTTTGAAGAAGTTATGTTTGCGGTGGCATTAAGATCAATGGTGCATTTCCTTTGAGACGGGTCTTTATCGTTTGTTTCAATGCTTTCATTCTTTTGTAACAGTCCGTTTCCATCTACCCCTCTTCTTTTCCCGTTCTCTTCTTGGTTAATTTCTCTTGTGCCCATTTGAACTTCGTACCTTTTCTCACGTTGGCAATCATAGAAAACCATTTCAGAATCTGACGTTGAAATTTCGCAGGACTCATTGGCGATAGCATCCGCTTCCTCAGGGCTGGGCAGAGCAATTACCACAGCCGTTTTTTCGATGCTTGTATGATTTTCCCATGTTTCATCCTGACTTAATGAGTAATTCAGAGGTTTTGAGCTGCCCCTTCCTCTGTTTTCTGCCTCACTTGTCTCTTCCTTGAAAATATTGTCTGCAGTTTTATGTCCGTTTGATACTTTTCCCCCACCCATTTCTTCCTCTCCGCCAAAATTCGTGAAACTATTTTTGCCAAAGACAATCTGACTGGCATCATTTCCTGAAGTTTCCACCAAAGAGCTTAATTCGTCTTTAGGCCCTATCTGTTCAGGCAGATGGTAGCTTTTAGAGTTCCGTTCCTGGCGCACGTCTTTTTTTCTTAAGCGCTCTTGAATTTCTGATCTAAATGATTTTCTTGACTCCTTGTCTTCCTCAAACAATTTCTTGCCTAAAAAGACGTCGTCGTCCATTGAGTGAACTTCTACAACGTTTTCCTTGACTGATGATAGTTGACCTTTCTCTGTGTTCACCGGATGATGAGATCCCAAACTGGATGAATCGTTACTCTCAGTATCACGCTCATAACTGCAGGACGCCTGTTCAAAATGACTGGACATAGTTCCCCCGGGAGCACCACTACACTTCAAACCTCCTACAGGATATGACATCGGCTCTTCATCGGGGAGACTGGCCATGTCACTTAAAGTTGATTTCCCGTGTTCCGTTACAATTCCATCCTCGCGTTGAATCTGTTTCTCTGAGAATTCACAGGATAGCTTACTGATTTCTCTCAGTAACTTCAGGGTACTTACTTGAACATTTTTTCTTAGAGCTTCCTCCTAAGAAATAAAAAAGCAGTAGTTGAAAGGTATGGGGTATTATTTCCACATTGTGGAACTTAACTGAAAGGATAGCCTTGGTACACAATCTACCTCTTGTTATCAGGAAAAGACAGTAAAGATTATTTTCCACTTGTAACATAGAAGCTTGAGCAAAAAAGATCCATTGAACGGGGAAAACAATCGAGCTGAAGAGAAAACTACCGTTTACACCTTGGGAGATTAAGCCGCCATTTCGGAGAGATCTACAAAGTTAACCGTAATCGACACCATATCGAGGAAACTGGAACTGGGTTTTAGGACCTGCATGTTGCCATGGCTGACTGAGTGGTGTGTTAAAACGTAGTTCGGGGTGTCTTATCTGAAGCTGAAGGATGATGATGTTGATTTATAAGGGGAAATATAATCAAATTCAATAAAGGAAGCACGCAGGTGTGCGTGTAACTCCACCGCCAGTGTTATTAGAAGATTGATTATGCCCTCTAAGTAGACTGGCTGACAGACCTGACCAAGTATTAAAATACTTAGTTCTAGCAGTCCTTTATGCGCGATTCAGACTATTGATACCATCACGTAATGAAATGGTGTCGACAGAAACAATGCCGTCTTGTTATGCAGTGATTATTTTCCTCATCAGAAATTACAACTTTTCATCAGTGACCGCTAACTGATAATTAATATTTCAAAATATTTTACCATGCTGTTCCACTCATATCTCTTTTACAAAACAGGTAGCCAATTAAGTAACTTACGTCTTCTTCTTCTTCTTCTTCTTCTTCTTCTTTTTCTTCTTTTTCTTCTTCTTCTTCTTCTTCTTCTTCTTCTTCTTCTTCTTCTTCACTGTCTTCTTCTTCTCGTTGAGGCTCATCCGAAAAGGCGCATTGCCTTCGCACCACACTGACCTTGCATCCCACTCCATGTGTGCTTATAAGCGGTTCAGCGAATTGCTCAATAGCTTTGCAGCAAGGACTTGGACTGCTGCACAAATCTTTGAGGAAGTTGAATTCTGGTCTGATTTCGTCCAGCTGAGTTGTCCTGTCGTTAATACGTATGACTTGAACCTTCTGCACGATTGATATATCCTCATGCCAAAGGGTCACTCTAGCTCTGACGGGATGGACGCATGTAAGGACTAGACACCCATCTTGTGGCCTTAAGGTCGACTTGTCCTCCCAGGCACAATTCTTAAGAAACCAGAGAGAAATCTTGCTGAACATAGCCAAAGTTGTCTGCTTATCGGTAAAGTTCATGCATGTTATTCTTTCGCACAAAGCAAGGGTCATCTCAGAAATGGCTCTACGTCCGATGGATAGCTTGCTCTGGATGACTTGTTCAAACAGGCAGAGAGGCAGGAGCTCAATACGACCACCACATGTCGTGATATCCTGCTCGCAAAATGAAGTCAGATCAACAACAGACTGAGTTGCACTGGTTTCAAAACCAAGACATTTGAGTTGAACAAACTCTTTGAAGGAATGCAATACCTTATCTTCCAATTTCTTCACATCATCCATGTCCATAAGGAAAGGTGAGCTGAGAGCCGCAACCAAATTACAACTTGGCTTATTGCTTCTGTAGGCTAAGCTTCTGAACAAAGGCTTCTTAGAGAGGTGGCCCACCCAGTCGCTTTTGTTTTCAAAAATCGCCGACGAAACAAATAGGTCTTGCACTGCAGTTTGTCCGTTGCAGGTCACTGAATTTCTAGACGCGTAAACCTGAAGTTGGCCATCGAGAGTAAGAAAACATTGGTCGTCATTTGGAAATTGGTTGACATAAAAATCGTACGCAGCAAAAGTAGCATCATGCGCTTGTAGCTGAATAGACAGTAGCAGAAAAAATATCAACAATAGCTTCAAAGTCATCTGGTTGTTAAACGTTAACATCTCTTCGTCTTCTGAATTTCCCTCGCGGCTATTTTCAGTTTCTGCCTTAACGTCTTCCAAATAGCTTCTTAGAGCAGGACTCTCCAGTTTGTTTTGACTTGTCAATTTTGCCTGACTAATGATAGTGCAAAGGTGTACCAATGCTGCATTAGGACAAGCAATATTGTTGGTCATACCGTACCTGCCTGCTTCTTTAAAGAAGGCAACGGCCTCTTTGGTCATTCCGTGCTGAAGGAACTTCTTACCACTTTGTAAAAGGTCACGCATGAATTTCTGAGAAATTATCAAAGTGGACTCAGAATGTCTGCCAACTTGAGGTTGCTTTGCCTTCTCCTTTTTCTTTCGGGAGGCATGGGTGTCTTTTAGTCCTAGTCGGTTAACCAGAACAGCCAATGCTAGCCCATACTCTGCAACAAGACCTTCAACTACTCCCTCCTGTCTTTCTCGTCGTTCAGATCCCCACAATGAGATGTCTGTGATTTTTCTGGTCAGTGCCAAGTATCTTTTGGACAGCTGCTCTAGCAGTGAGACCTGGTGAATGATTTGTACGTTCTCTATTGCTCGCTGAAAGTAAAGATGCGACTCATCTGGCCGGTCTAACCGAAGGGCTATGTCACCGAGTGACAGGTAACAGCTCATTAAAAGTGGGTGATTTTCGCCGAAGATACTTCTCCAAATCTCCTTTGCGTCCTCAAATTTCCTCAGTGCTTTAGGTAACTCTCCAATAAGTTTCAAAATCGTCCCTTGTTTGTATAACAGTGCAGCGACACTGAAGTGATCAGGACCAAACACGTTTTGTACAATTTTGAAACCTTTTTCTAAAAATTCGCTGGCAAATTTGATTTTTCCAGTTTGGACCAATACGTCAACCAACGTCTCAAATGATTCGATCCTGACGTTTAAGTGAAGTCCCTCAAGTGAGTGAAGTCCCGTGAATTCCAGTAGGTCATACACGCTAGCCGACGTCAACATTTCCAAAGGATGACCCGCTTTCTCTTGTTTGGCACGAAGAAGCAACACTTCGTGAAGCCGCAGATGAACAAAATTTAATAACGAGTCGAATTCCTCTCTATTCTTGTTTTCGCAAAGCTTTTTAAGAAACCGTAACTCTTTCTCTGCTTTTGGGAACATCGCTAGAGCATTATACATACTTGCTTGATTTAGCAAAACCACAAAAGTTGTTTGAAATGGCGGTTCGTTAAACCTCGTCTCAAGGGACCCGTTATCCATAGTTTTGCATTTTTGAACAAGTCGTTCCTGTCCAGTCAATGCCTTAGAAAAATACCTACACAACATATCTAAACGACAGATGTTGCTTTCTACTGCAATCATCATGGAGTCTAAAGATGGACCGCAAAATTGTTTATTCTTGCTGAAGTTAAGATGTCTTTGCGAATTCTGAAAATCGCTTCTCGCCCGATTGAATTCGCCTCTTACCATCAGAATACAGCCTCTATTATTAAAAGAAGCTCCTATACCACGCAAGCGACTTGTTGAATCTGATTGCCCGTGGAGATCAATCAAAATGCTAAATGATTTTTCGGCAATCTGGAATTCTGACGTTTCAGTGGCAAATGCTCCTAGAACGTTAACCAGCCGTGGATAAAAATGGGGATCACCTGAATCCAAAGTGATGATACCGTGTTTAACTGAACAACTCACGCCTTTTTGTCCTCCCCAAGTCCAGAAAAGATCCTCTCCACGCTCTAATACTTTCAAGTCAAAGTCGGATGGCGTCTTGAAGTGCCTTGAATCGCGATTTGACACCAATTCAAAAACATTTCGCAATACAGATCGAGACTTTGCGATATAATCACTTTGAAGTAGGTCCATTGCTTTTTCAAGATGTATTATAATCATCTTGATGTCCTCTTCGGTGTTATTTCTGGTGAACCAAATTTCTGCACATATGCGATCAATCTCGCTCCCTGCTTCCCTGAGGCAAACCTCTTCCATTCTGGCATCTTTGTCGTCATCACTGGTAGGAGACGTTTCCGGTGATGTTTGATTAACCGTTCTTCTTTTTTCATGAGTGGCTCCTTCAGCTAAAGAAGTTGAATCATTTTGGTGCACTGCAAACATGGATAGAACAAACGAAAAATGCATATCATAATAATTCTTAGCCTGAGAGAACACCCGGCGTTTCGCAACGGACAGTGCCACCACTAGTTTCCCCGCAAAATGGCTTCTGGGAAACAAAGAGAGCATAAATTCCATAATGACATGTCACTAACCAGAACCGAGTATGCTTTTGATCGGCTGAAATTTGCTTCAACAAACCCGATACACTACCCAGGTATCGGTAGTGACGCGTTAGCAGTATGGAATTTCTGCACCCTTTGCTCGGACGTCATTTTGCGTCGGGATCTTTGCCATGCAATGCAGTTATTCTTTTCTTCCTTTTTTTTATATGCGCAATAATTACCAAGACTCTAATAACTAATGACCTCTATAAATTTTGAATCAGAATCAACCGATAAATACGTATCTTATTTTTTAATTAATCAATGAAAAAAAGAAGACATCTGTTGACCTAATATGGACCAAACGACAGTAAAAAAAACTCCGCCAAACAGGTTAAACCAACTAAACCTATGAAATGGCCTAATTTTGTTGAGATTCCACCGCGTTATATCCATGAGATAAAAACGAAAGGATCTGACGTCAACAGATTAATCGGGAAAAATACACATAAATGGTAAAAACTATAATTTGTAACTAATTTTAGAAATCTAGTTTCTTGTTATTTTACGTACATGCACTACTGCTCACCTACCTAATTTTCCCTGAAAGGATCGACGTGATGGGTTTAAAACTCTTGTTGGACGTATGAATAGTTTCCGGCTAAAGCACCTAAGGCGAATTAGAACACCCTTAAAGATTTCCGGTCTTCTTGGAAAGGAAAAACCCTCTGGCCGTTTTATTGCCACTTTATACGATTCCATAACATCAAGCCCCAATATTGCCGCAGGTATAAAGCGCACACAATCTGCAAATGATAACCAAATAAAATGGTTAAAGAAACTGTTGACCACCACTAGTAATAAACTTTATACCATCTGTGAGATAGCCAAGATCGTAAACAGACTGGCGGCGATAGAAACAGCTGGAAGTTTCTCAGAAGTACGTAACCCAATTCCTGCAATTGAATTACGGGAAAAACCCCTCTCTTTATTTTGCACATGAATACACGAAACACTTCCTTATTTCTAGTTTTGTTTTTGAGCTATTATCGCAAACAACTACATAAAAAATAAATTAAAGTGATAGAAGTTTGCATTTGTCACCTATAATGAGGACTAAGGTATTCATAATCGAAGTCTGCAAAATACCCGAATATATCATGTGACAAGATATTTGATGGTCTTTATATATGAATGAAACAGTGTGTACTTAGGAAGACTAATTATGAAAAACGCCTTAAGATATTTAAAATTATTTTCTTTATCTGTGTGCAGGACTTGGTATTATAATGAATTTTAAAATACCAAAAGTGGGCTATTCTACAGGCGCCTTGTAACTTTGGCTGTACGAGGCCGCGAGTGAATTGGTTGCTGTTAGTCTCCTTGAACAATGGATTTGTTTTCGTAACTTAAGGTGGCTACACATAGTTTTGGCAGTTTGCGAGTATATGTCATTTGCCAAATCATGGCAAGACAAAGGGTGCAGCTCACAAGGCTGAAACTTGGCAAGTGAAAAATATACTGATGATCAATTTTGGTACGGTAAAATCTGACGTTTTCGTAGTTTCCATGGCAACATGAACAATTGAATACAACCTTAAAATTTCATTTTTGCTGAGTTTACATAAAATTTCTTTCATTAGATTTTCCTATAAACTTGTACACAGCTTACTACAATTAATCATTACCATTTGAAACCTTTTTGACCAAATTTTAACAGACGGGTTTTTAGATATTCAACAAGGGAGGGGAATAAATATAATTGCAGTGTAATTATTAAATGTGTCACATGTGTTCAACTTCCATTTTAAAGTTCTCGTTATTCAAAATACGATAAAAGTAAGAATTCTGGCAATATCACAAAATTTTAATGAATAGATTTTGAGAAATTGTCTTCTGTGTATCATTCCTTTTTCGCCGCCATGTTTGTTTGTCTAATTTAAAACATGCGCCGTCACGCGAGTTACCGCTGACCGCGCGCAACACCATCTTAAATGTGTAGTAAATTTAAACATGAATCACATTTAGGTTATCCCGGTTAAAAACGTTGTACGAACACTATTTTTTGCAACAGAACGTATTTCATGATCACAGACAACACTGTTGATGACTTTCAAGTTATTTTCAATTATTTAGAAAACGTTTGGTACATTCGCCGATGTATCGAGTTGGAATTTATTCGTATTCAAACTATAATTTTGCTTACCTGAAAAAAAAAATCCGATTCGATGCTAAATATAACCCTAGCAAGTCACTTTACCATGTTGATCAAACGCCTTTGAAAGGAAGAAAACCTTACAAAGAAGGACATTCAGCATTTTAGATGGTCATTTTCAGCACTCAGCGTTTATGGCGCATGCGGAAGTAAAACGAGTCAAACAGCTTGGTTTAGTTGATATAATTGAAGTGCCTTGTCCCAGAGTATCTATCCAATCAGTTTATTAAGCGCTCATCTATATCAACCTGCAACTGGCCAAAGGACTTTTTATTATAGGACGGTATCTCTCTGGAACGCTCTGCCGCAAAATATCCAATTAAATCAATCGTTAACGCAGTTTAACACTATGATGAGAAAAAGACTTCTTAGGACTCTAACATAAGAACCCAATAATAATAGTTTAATCACTAGGCACTTATTTATTCTAACTTCCTGTATTTTAATTTTTAGACTTTTAGAACTTCTTGTCTTTTGCTTTATTTCATGTCCTTCTATTTTGTTAAATACTTCACTACAAAGCCCGTGGAGACGTGCAATAAATGTATGTATACCTAACGAGTACTCCACGATGCATGGCAAACACATGCACCTCGCCAAGCAATTTATGTTCAATTACTAATTTGCAGACGGTCGACAACACTTTAAACTTTTTTGCTTACCTGTAGTAGGTCACTTGATCATAATGAACGCCTTTGAAAGGAAGAAGACACATACAAGGAAGTTAGATGGGAAGTTTTTAGATGGACATTTTGATTAGTCAGTGTCATTAGAACTTAAGCGGAAGTAAAACGAGTCAATCAACCTCGGCGGGTCTGGTGATCGTGCTTTATCGCGGATCCATTTACATGTACTTAACGATATATGGCACACGTACATCACGCCACGAGGATGACGACAAAGCAGAATGCGATAAAAATGTTCCAAGGAAAAAGGAAGAAGAAGTAATGTGTCGTTAATCTAGTATGTACTATTAACAAATGTATGCTTAAACGAAAAAAACCCTTACGGTTACTTCCGCAAATGCTAACAGCTTAAGACAAAGAATGAAACAGCAGGTAAACTTTCACTTTGTTTTAATCTGTAGATTGTCAAATTGAACGTCCCTTCCGAACGCAAAACGTAACCAAGGACTGAAGAGGAAACTTAAAGTAACACGACTCAAAACGTAACTCACAATAAACCGATCCATAACGATATTTATATCAACAGAAAAAAAAAAAAAGGAATAACTTTTGTAAGTCATATTAAATTTTTATGCTTGACTGTAACTGAGCTAAAAGTCGGTGAGATCAAAGTTGAAACTGTTCGAGGTTTACGCCCTCTTCGATAACGTTTTTCGAATGACTTGTTTTATGTTCAACCGCTGAATCAGCCAATAAGATAAATAGATGGATAAATAAAATATAATGATGTCCAAGGAGCCAAATGAACACTGACGATCCCTTTAAGAGCACAACAACAACAAAAACAACAATAAAAAACAAAGCGACATTAGAGCCAGCTATTAAACATTTCAAGTCCTGACCTGATTGTGCAGTCCTACCCTACGCCTGTTTTGTATCTTATGGCAACCGATTTTCAACGGATACAAATAAAGTGTCCGAGCTTTTTACTGTTTACGCCAAAGCGGACAGTAAAGGAGAACAGAACTTTACACTTCACATCACTATTCACACTGCGCCCTTGTTCAGTCAGTTTCATTTCGGAAACACATATACCGTAAAATTCCGAAAATAGCCCCGGGACTTTTACTTTTCAAAGCCTTTTTCGAGCCTTACAGTTAGAAGGGCTTATAGAGTCTTATTAATGGAATTTTACGGTATTCGTGGAAAAACCGACAAACCGAAAAAGTCGATTCCAATAAAGGTATGCATTAATGTAGCAGTGGAAGCAAGCACTGTTAGTTCCAAAAGGAAAGATACAACAATGAATAAAATTTAGAAACTTCTTATGTTGCATCTTCCCTTTTTAATAGATCTTACCGTCACCGTCTCGTTACGGCAAATGATTAAAATATAAATGTCGCCCATTTCGGGGAAATCACCTTTCATTGTCAATTAAAAATCAGTTTAATGTGGTATTGGAATCGGATGGATTGTGATGACAGCATGTCTCTATATGTGAGCTTTGAAATGCCGACGGATGTGTTTTCATAGGGAAACCCAAACGAAGGTGCTTACGAGGGCCCCAATAAATCAGGACCAGGAATTCAGTTACAAGAAAAAAGGGACTCCTTCTCTGATATATTCAGGGCTTCATTTTTCTTTTGTTATAAAGTATTTTGAAAGTTATTTTCAATATTTGTCTCATCTTTTAATATTCGTTTTTATTTCATTAAGTGGATCAAGGTTAGTCTGGATTTTTTGCGTGACATGGGTATCTTCCTGTTTGGATCTTTTGCTTTTACTCGAACTTGAATTTATGCCAAATTCGCAAAGTTAGTTAAGTTCATTCCTGGAATATTCTTGGCTTGCCTTTGTCAGATGCTATTTTTTCCTACGCTGTCGTGTTTTGCGATGTTAGAGTTGACCTTAGTTCTCGAGCTCACTGAAGTTCCTGTTTGGGTTTGTTAACCATAGCGCCTTTTCATTGCTTTGTACCAAAATATTACACACACCGAGTTTGCTTTGTTTTTATTCCCACGGTAAGCTGACCCAAAAATTTCCAGCTTTGGTGATGAAACCGCTACTATTTAAATTTGGCCAGTAAGAATGCGAGTGTCGATTTGTCCATTCGTCATCGTGCGTATGTCGAGATATTGAGCCCGCGGGAAGTTTGGAGAGAACGAAAGAGGTGTAAGAGTTGCTCTAGGGGCAGCCGAGAGCAACTCTAGCTTCTTGAATGCTCTCCAAACTTCTTGCGTGCTCAATATCTCGACATACGCTATTGAATTTGATTAGGCGCCGAATATTCTACCTATGTTATAAATTATTGCATAAGTTTTGACTTTAAAAAACTCTTTTCTAGCTATTCGCATTTATTTTCGTTTCAGCTTTTCGTATCTATTTGCATATATCTTTCGCACATTATCTTGCTTTGCTTGTCATTTTTTCTGAACGTTATTTGCCTGGAGACTAGTTTTCTGTTACGGTTATTCATGACAAGTGATTTGTACTTCCACCGTATGTGCTCGCAGCGGACACGTGTTATTTTAGTCAAAAGAATATTTAAGTAGTTTCTTTGAATTTTTAGTTCCTTTCAGAGTCAGCATTTTCATCTTTAATTCTTTTGTTCGTCGGTACAGTCGAAGCTTTCTTAGACAACGCCCGCTACGTTTAAGAAATGCACCCATCGAACATGAGGAGTACAAATGTGGCAGTAGAAGGGCCTCTAAAAACTGCGAGTTGCAAATATAGTGATCAGACCGGCGCCATGTGGTCACCTTCAGGAAGTAAAAGACTATGGAAAAGTTAGGCCAAAGTATTCGCGGTTTCTTAATACAAGTGAGGTGAAACGTGACCGTAGAGTCCAAGAAAAACTACACAAAATTTAAATATGAATTGAAAAGATTAATATATCAAAAATGACACGCACAATGAAATCATTGTTCTTGCGATAGACGGTTACAAGATGTGATTCGTGCCAATCTAGTACTGTATTTTCTAGCCTGTTCCAGTCTCCAAGACAGTGGTGAGAGGTCGTTCAGTATAAAAAAATGCGAAAAACGCGCTGGGGCTCATTTCTCATTCATTTTTCTCTCCCATTTTTCCCACCGCCACCGCCCCGTTTCCGCCAAGTCGCGCGCGTCTTATTTTCGCTTTGCCCGTTTTAAATACGTCCCCACTATACTGAGGGTCTCAATGGGGTTAACCGATAGGCGTAAAACGGCCAAAAATTTAGTCGATAGCCGTAAAAATTGAAAAATTTTAACCGTTAGCCGTAAATAGGGTAAGAAAGAGTTAACCGTAAAAGAAATTCTTCCCTAGATTTGTTAGTTTTAAGGAAGATGCTAAACTCTCTTATGATTGCGTTTTTATTTCCTGGCTACTTTGATTGCGTACGCACGTTAGGCCAAGCGCCTAGCTTTTAGGTGTTGACCTAGACCTAGGCTCCATTTCCACCGCCGCTCTCTCGGGGAACTAATTTTTTCCATAGCGGAAATCTGGCTTCTTGCCGGGGATTAATATTTTAGATTTTCAGGAGGTCGTACCCTCGAAATACTAGCAACACGCAGAGAGGTCACTGTTTGTAAAACACGTCGCCGATTAAACAACAATTCCATCTAACAATTCCCTGTTTTTCTCTGACGCTACGGCGTCTTCCCACGCAATCTCAGTCAAGGCATTTCGGTGGCGTATCTGAGAAAAAAACTCGCTCGGACAACGTGACCCGAAACGCATCAGCCGCGCGGAATAATGAGGCCTACAGACAAGGCAACGGCAGACAGTCGTTCTGTACAGTCCTTCGCTATCATTAAAAGCACTGGACCGGGAATTGTTTTACATTGGCCGTTTTCACACTAGAGCTAGAAAAGGTTATCCATCTGATACAAGCCTGTGTACAGTCACTCCCTCCCCCATGTACACTCCTTCTCCCTTCCTCCTTCTGAGGGGAGGGGGCAGCTGTACACAGGCTATCTGAAATGGATAATCCATCCTCAAGTAAATTGTCCCTCAAAACTGACGGAGAAAGCCAGGCGGATTGTTCTCATTCAAAATTAAAATAATTGATTCCATTTTCAAATTAAGACGTATTACCTATCTGACGCGGATTATCAAACGGATAACCCGTCTCACCCGAATAATCCGCCTCTAGGGTGAAAACGGCCATTTCTGTTATAAGACCCCTCATAAATGCACGTGCACGTGGCGCCCTGGCCTTGAGTTGGGCGTTTGCCTGTCTACTTTTGCCTTTTCACAAAGATTATTTTTAAATTGACTATTGACATTTGTATGCGTAAAATAATATTAGAAGTGGAATACTTTATAAAAAGTATGATCTGTCAAATGTTAAAATTTTTCAAAAGAATGGTTTATTTCATTCCGAGATGATCCTAAGCCCTTTATTTTGCTTTAAAGATACAAAAAATACACGTTTATTAACATTTAACTCCTTGAAACAAAAGAAATTAATTTTTAACTTTGTTGTTAACCGTAACTGAAAAAAATTAACCGATAGCCGTAAAAGAGCCAAAATTTTAGCCGTTAACCGTAAAAGCTACCACCCCATTGAGACCCTCTATACTATCTGAGAGCCTGGCACAAGCTACGCATTTTCTCGATTAAACGCCGGGCGCCGAATAAACGCCGGATCTTAAAGAGAATGTTGTGAATAAACCCCTGAGACATTCATTTGTAGTACGATAAACTTATGGTGTAAAGACAATACACGGTTGTCAAAAATAATGACCAAAAAAAGGTTTTCTCCAGAAAAAGGAGGCCAAAACAAACTGCAGATTGAAAGAAAAAAAACAAAAGCCGGGTTCACAAAACCAAGTTTGAATTTACGCCAGGGGCGTTAATTGAGGAAATAAGGTATAGGCCACGAATTATGAACACTGTTCCAAGAATACGGTCGTTGCTAACATTGCTGTCGTTCAATTTTGACTTTTGGTCGTTAATTCGACTGAACGACAAAAACTCCAACATAAAACAAGAAGAACGAAAGTCCAGTTCATGTGACCACGAAAGGCGGGAAAACAACGAAAAACAAGGAACCCAACCGCTGCACTCACTACATTCGGGGATCTGTCTGACCAGGCCGAGGGGGAAGAGACTAGGTCTGGGACCGAGAAACGATGTTCTCTGGAAGTAGCTCCTTCCTGTGTCTGACGAAAGAATAAAGCTTAAAACATCCTTACAGTGTCCAACTTACCTTCTCTTAACTCAACTGTCGAGTGTTCTACATTAGGTCTTTTCCGGATTATCAAAATAACAAAACATGATTACCAAAATATCAAAATATGATTCACTTTTGCAGTATGACAACGTCATTGTAAAAAAATACACTTATTACATTTAAAGGAAGCTAACTACTGTCCGTCATCATGAAAGTGGTTTTAAAACTGCTGACAAAATGCATATATAGGCTCATTAATTTAGAGGCGACAGAGTCAATTTCAGCAGTTCTTTTCCAAAAAAAAAGTGAACTTAGTAACGTCCTTCATAAAAATATTACCTACCTAATTCTGCTAGTACCGTTTATGTTGGACTGAGCAGACCTGAAAATGGAAGAAGATTTCAAGTGTGTTATAAATATAATTGAATTAATGAATTAAGTAATCGTGTTTTTCCCGAGCTCTTATCAGGGCTGAAAGTGCGGCACTCCTGTATGGCGCGCCGTTTGTTTCAAAATTAATTTTTTCATTGGTTATAAATTTTTAATCAGTTTTGCGGACCGGATTTACCGACCAGTTATCGATCAATTAAAATATTGTTATATTGTGCTAATTTTCTACCAGAGACGTAAAATCGATCAGCCAGCATATCATCAATCGGTCAGATCAGTTTTCCGTAATCAACCATGAGAAGCTGTCTCAAATTTTGATCAGTTTTGCTAATAATCGATCAGTTCATTGTAGATCAGCGTAAACTGGGCTTGTATAATCTACCATTGTGCGTATTTTCATTCAGTTGAGCCAAAAATGGATCAGTTGAATGATCGATCGCATTCAGTTGTGACTAAAATTGATCAGTTGTTATATGATCGATCAGTAGTGCATATTTTCATTCAGTTGCGACTTACAGATCGATCAGTTGTTATATGATCGATCAGCAGTGCGTATTTTCATTCAGTTGTGACGAAAATCGATCAGTTGTTATATGATCGATCAGTTGTGCGTATTTTCATTCAGTTGTGACTAAAATCGATCAGTTGTTATATATGATCGATCAGTAGTGCGTATTTTCATTCAGTTGTGACTAAAATCGATCAGTTGTTATATGATCGATCAGAAGTGCGTATTTTTATTCAGTTGTGACTAAAATCGATCAGTTGTTATATGATCGATCAAAGTAAAAACTTGCAAGAGGTGACAGGCCGCACATCTTCACAGGCGTGAAACCTTTGAAACCTTTTACATATTGCTCCATTGAGGAGACCTCCTCTTTCAGGGGATCTTACAGTTTAAAATTTGAACGATGATATCGCTTCTATATGGCGGACCAAGATACGGCTCGGTACAGTTTATGTTCAGCAAGGGAAAATTGTGTAAGTGGAGCAGAACCTTTTAAATGTTCAACAGACAATTTATTCAGTTCGCGCGTATTCCTGTTAAATTTGTAGCCCGTGTATGAGATATGTCTACTCAAAAATATAATAATTTTTCCATAACTGCTGTTATCTGAGAGTAACTGCTTTTAATATCTCCGTAAAGTTTAGGTTTACGCGATCCCAGAGAACAATGTTTAGCTGTACACAGCACGTATATTCAAAAAAAAATATATCTAGATCTGACACTGGTTTTGGGTATTTATCACGTCTAAGCATGATTTAAATACATTATGATGCTGTGTCCTTTGAATGTCGTCTTAAAACTCAATCGCTTTGTAAATGTCACTTGTAGTTTTAATATCGGAGGAGAGTACTTTAAAGCTCAATATTTTTCAATACCATAATTAGCATGTTGTTTTTTTACCAATCAATTGACTGGCTTCTTTGTGCCACTACATAATGTGTGTAGTTAAATATAAGTTTACAAGCAAGACCGGCATGAGAAAATGCAAGGGGTGACGGGCCGCACATCTATACCGGCGTGAAACCTTGTGTAACACCTTTTATATTTTAGCTCTAACGAGCATGTCCTTTAGGGATTTTCCTTTCTTGTAGGAAATGATAGGTGGTTCTTTGAAAATTTGGCGAAGTAACGGTTGGTTTTGTATAAGATTCCAGTTTTTCATTAAAACTTCTTTTAAAGTAGACACTGAGGGCTGGTACTGTGTCACGAAAGGCAATATTTCTTTTTCCTCTTTGTTGTTGTGTTTCAGGAGAGCAGACTCCTGAAACAACTGAATGAAAATACGCACTACTGATCGATCATATAACAACTGATCGATTTTAGTCACAACTGAATGAAAATACGCACAACTGATCGTTCATATAACAAGTGATCGATTTTAGTCACAACTGGATGAAAATAGGCACTACTGATCGATCATATAAGAACTGATCGATTTTAGTCACAACTGGATGAAAATACGCACAACTGATCGATCATATAACAACTGATCGATTTTAGTCACAACTGAATGAAAATACGCACTACTGATCGATCATATAACAACTGATCGATTTTAGTCACAACTAAATGAACTGATACGCACTACTGATAGATCACATAACAACAGATCCATTTTAGTCACAACTGAATGAAAATACGCACTACTGATCGATCATGTAACAACTGATCGATTTTAGTCACAACTGAATGAAAATACGCACTACTGATCGATCATATAACAACGGATCGATTTTAGTCACAACTGAATGAAGAAAGGTACGCACAACTGATCGATCATTCGACTCATCCATTTTAAGCACAACTGGATAAAATACGTAAAACTGGTAGATTGTACAAGCCGGGTTTACGCTGATCAATGTGTCAATTGTATAGTACCCGACAACTGATTGATAATGAACTGATCGCTTATCAGCAAAAATGATGAAAATTTGAGACAGCTTGTCATTGATTACGGAAAAATGATCGATTTTACAGGACAGATTACCGATTGATGATATGCTAGCTGATCGATTTTACGTGTATCTGGTAGAAAATTAGCACAATATAATAATATTTCAATTGATCGATGACTGGTCGGTAAATCCGATCCGCACAACTGATTTATTGGAGTTCATAGTAAACTACTAAGGTGTTTCTAATAATGACGACGAAAAAGCAATGATAGAAAGATCAAGGAGTCCTTCTTTCTAATTTTAAGCGCTTAAATCCATGATTCAAAACAGAAAAAGATTAAAAATTTATAACCAATGAAAAAATTAATTTTGAACCAAACGGCGCGCCACTCCTGACGCCTGCTAAAAGTGATTAGATCACGAAATGCTGTAGGCGAAATTAAGGAAATTAATGTTTAATGAGTGTTTGGAAATCCGGGATTTTTGCATCCTTTAGATTTCTCCTTCTAAAATCATTTTGTTTGAGAAGTAATATCAAGCATTCGACACAGTGTTTCATCACCAGATGAAACACCTTCAAGTTCCGTCAAAAATAATCCGCTGCGCGTCGTATTTTCAACTCTTGTCAAAATCTGATTTTAATGGCCCAGAACAGGTCTTGCCCAGGCATGACATAATAAACTATGTGCATTGCACTGCTGGGTATTGCTGTCCTCAGCACATATCCCACTTTAATTTACTTCTCACTGACAAATTTTTCCCTTTCCTAGTTCCGGTTTGGGTCAAGTCGTAAACGTGAATCACCGCCGGACTCAGTCGCCGGCGCGTGAGGAAAAAAAAGACAAAAACACTTGTACAGGGTAACAGATGTTAGAAATATGACTGCTACTTGTTATGTTATTTAATAATAATTTTTAGTTTCATTTCTGTAGGTCAAAAAAGTATATATTCTAACAAGGAAAGGGAATATTCGTCGAAACAAAACAACATTTAAAACATGTCACGGAACTCGGACTCGGATCACCGCGTTAACATGCTTGGCAGACAACATTACCCATTGTTTTTACTGTTCAAAAATGTTAATGAGTCGATCCTGCCCTGACAGAAATTAATGCCTGGAGCGGAGAGTTTGCCAAATGCACTTTCATTTGTTGACATTAAGACGTTTTAAAAATAGTCCGTCCGGCCCCACTCAGAGGAGCCATTAAATGTGGTATTCTTGGCGGCATGCCACAATCTAAGGGCTTAACACTAAGTTTACCGGCGAAAACAAAGTGGGCAAAGTAAAAACGAAACTGAAAGCTAAAGGTCGGGGAATTAAAGCCCCCAGTCTTGAGAGCGGGATAAAACCTGTTTACTGAAGCCCCGGGGGGAGGGGGGAGGGCACTTGGGTATTTTTTGGATGGGTATGTGCCGCCCGGGACTCCAAATTGGCACCCCGTTCTAAAAAAAATTTCCCCTAAAACTGATACCCCGTTCTAGAAATGGGCCAATTTTTTATACTCCGTTCTAAGGTGCAAAGAGTACAACAGTTTGCTTGTTAACGCATTGAACCGTATTTTTAAAAGCAATCTGTCCTTGAATAATTTCAAATGGCTGCTTACAAAGCTGGGGCTTTCGTGCGTTCGAAATATTATACCCCGTTCTAGAAAACGCCTCTGAAATGGAAGCTTCAAAATCACGACCCCGTTGGGCGGCACATACCCGTATAGGTAATGTATGGGGGTACCCTCCCCCCCCCCGGGACTGAAGCTTTGCTACGAATAAACATCCGTTCACTGGAAGGCGCCAATGAAAAGAAAAGGGCTTTTTCGATTAGTTCGAACATGAACAATATTTTGCGTCGCGTTCTTTGAACGACCGACTGAGTCGGCGTTTGATATCTTTTATTGGAAGCCAACGAAGCCTCAGTTACTTAACTTATATTAATATATTTTTTCACAGCTGGTGCCGAGCAATATTGATGTTGTGGTTAGCCACAATGTTTGCATATTTTAAAAAAATAAGTTCACTGCAACCAAAGCGCTGTGAATAAAAAAAAATGTTAGTAAGAGGCTATAGATGCTCGTAGGTTACCTTATTCTTCAGGTCTGCAAGCCAGCGAAATAACCAAACTTTTAGTTTTAATAGTAGAATGAGAGTTAACAAGAACAATGAGCCAACTGTGAAGTCTTGGAAGGACCGCTTGGGTATAAACAGCAACGTAGCCCGAAAAGCCGGATCTTGACGTAGATCACGATTAGCAATGTAGGATAAAACTTTAAATCAAACCTAAGGTTGATCGGACAGCTATGAATGGGTAATTTATTTGCCCAATATTTCGGTTTGACCAAAATAACCTCCATCGAATCGAAATGTGTTCGCACAGGCTATCAAATGTTTACTTTAATGGCCGCTTCGTCTCGACATGTCTCGAGGTTGCCAACCAAACTGAAAAGAATGCAACATGCTACGCCACACAGGAACGAATGCTTTGCCTGTTGTATTGAAGGGAGAAACGAAAATGATACTGTCTTTATGAAATTATAGAAAGACAGTAAGGGATGCAGAGGTTGTGAGCAGCATCTTCCGTGATGTTGTCAGGGTTGTGAATTACCCGCCATAAAATGTATCTGTTAGCCCTTTTGGGCCTTTCCACATAGCAAAATGGATTTCCTTAACTTTTCGTATACTTCAACTTGTGGTATTCCTATAGTTTCATATACCTGAAATTTGAAAAAGGTAAAAAGGTCCCCCTTTCTTCGAGCGGAGCCCCCCCGCCTTATCCCTCACCTAAGGTGAATTGATTAGTCGATCATAGAAGAAGTAAAACTTACCTGCTGTTGGCAGAGTGCAGCTTTTCTGATTCAAGATCAGAAAAGTTGCTAACACATTTTTTCCTCGAGAAATATGAAAAATAAATGATCGGATGCTTGCATGTTAATGCGTAGAGGACACTGCCCAACGACAAACAAATTTAGCAAGTATCTCCTATTGGCCCGAAATTAAAGGGGAATCCCCTGAAACCTGAAGCTGCTATATTGTCCATTGTTCGCCCAAGGGTCTGCCTGGTGGGGCGCGAAGCATTGCGTGACTCAGGCTCCAGCAGCTGCAAACGAGACCAGACATCAAGATTTCTTCATTTTCTCCAGAGAGAACGGTTTTGTCAGCAGCCAGTCAACATTGAAGTAAAGAGTTTGAGCCATTTTGTGTTTAAGTTTTGTTTATGTCTGTTTTTTAGTCAGGGTAATTTAAAGAAATGATGTTAAGGAGTCTTCAGTGACACTCTAAAGATCTACGAGCCTTAGTTTGAACACATACAGTGGAACCTCGACATACGGCGAACCTCTATATGACGAAATCCTCGGTATAACGAACAATTTTCTTTACCGCATTAATTGTAAAATATATGGAAAAGGACCTCGTTATAGCGAACAAATTTTGCCAGTCCCTAGGCCCTTCGTTATATCGAGGTTCCACTGTAGTATATTTAGCAATTATTTAATGAGGCTGAGAATCATCTGAAGAATAAACCTATTCGGCTAACTCAATGTTGTGCCCAATTCAAACCCTTTGGGAATAACACGTTTTGTTTCAGGAATTTCCATATCATTTGAATGTGAATGCCACATAGATTACAATGCAAATCAATACACAAAGAATGGCCGAATTTATGCTAGAGACGAATTATCCGTCGAGAGGGATAATTCATCTCTAGTATAAATTCGGTGCTAAGACGAGTTATGGAACAAAATTAGTCTGAGGCTGATTCGTAACAGACAGATAATTAGTCTTAGACGAATTATCCGTCGTTAAATTTATATCTAGACGGAACGTAGATGGTTTTTTGACGAAGTTTCTACATGAGAGGGACTGGTTTCTATATTTTCGCAGTGTTTCCTGTTTCCCGCGTAAAATATCTAGACAAATTATTCGTCAAAATTCGTCCTCGGATTTGTACGTAGAAGAATTATCCGTCGGACAGATAATCCATCTAGACGGATAACTCGTCTCTAGTATAAATTTGGCCAATCTTAACCCCGGGATATTTGAATTGGGTACAACATTGAGTAAGCCGAATAGGTTTATTATAAAGATCGAAGAGGAGCCGATTAGACCGATGCGGGTAGCACCCTAACTTCAGATGATACGAGAGCCGAATTCAGTGATTGTCTTATTCTTCATTCAAAATAATTCCTCGTTTAAAAACAAGCTAAAACATGCTTACCCCCATCGCTGTTAAGTTCATCTACGGTCTGTAGCTTCGATAGTGCATGTTTATCGGCAAGTTTAGTAATAATAATAGTAATTTAAGAAAATATATTGCGCAATTTTCATGACGAGATGATCAACTGCGCATTACAACAATACATAGAATAAAAATAACTAAATGATAAATAAGAATAACATCATGTGTTGTGTAAAATATTAATAAGCCTAGCTAAGAATAAAAACCTTACTAAAAGGTACATCTTTAAAAGTCTTGCTTAAAGTAAATAAAAATTACATAGTCGTGTAAGTAAACCTAAGAATGAAACGCCTTACTAAAAAGAAGCGTCTTTAAAAATTTTTGAAAAGTGTCAGCAGATCTGGCCATTCTAATTTTCAGAGGTAAATCTTTCCAGAGTTTAGGCGCCGAAGCAACAAAAGCATGGTCGCCCAGGGTTGTTAAAGTTTTGAAATTCGGATGAGACAGCAGTATTCCGTCGTTAGATCGCAGTCTATATCTTGGGTTTAAAGGCCTAACTTTAACAAGATCGTTGATATAGGACGGTGCTAATCCATGGATGGCTTTGAAAGTTAAAAGTAAAATCTTAAAATTAATTCGAAATGAGACAGGAAGCCAATGCAGCTGATGGAGCACTGGGATACTATGGCAAAATTTGCCCTGCATAATGACAAGTCTGGCGGCTGCATTTTGAACTCTCTGCACTTGTCAATATGGCACTTAGGCACACCATATAATAGACTATTACAGTAGTCGATTGGGATACTAACAAAAGAGTGGATAAGAGTTGCAGCTACATCCATTGAAAGGTATTTTCTTATGCGTCTAATGTTGTGCAAGTGATAGATGAAGGGTTACTCAGTTCCTCAAATATTTTCCAAATTTTAAAGCAGATGTCGTCCGTCAAGTTGTCTTCTTGTTGTTCTCGCTATTTTTTAGCCAATAGTTCGCCTATTTCGAGTGAAATGCCATTTTGTACGTATTCAGTACCAAAACAACTCAACCTCGTCCCCAGGCAATATTAAGCCGCACAATAAACGTCATTTTTCACAACACCATTTGCTCTTAACTTGGTGACAACGACAAGCAACGCCTTGAAGAGAAATTTTTGTCGTCGAGGCAACGTCACCTCTTGAAATGGGCATCGGCACCGACATATTAAATTTTTGGCCAGTCATTTGTTCGCTTACACGGGCCGCATATTTCTTTATGGGCACTGATAAAATTGACTCCGGCACCTCTAAATTTATGAGCCTAAGTAGATGCATTTTGTCAGCAGTTTAACCAAGATGACGGACAGTCCTAGACGTGGATTGGAAAAGCATTACTGATTAGGGTTTAGCACTAAAAATAGTGATTAGGGTTAACCACTGACTCGAAACGGTTTAGCTTCCACTTAGGGTTAGGGTTGTTTCTATACAGGTTTAAATCAAACTAGTTGGCAAAGTGGTATAGGTATGGACCACCGATTCTACTCTCCGAGTTCGACTGCCACTCACGCTCTTCTGAACATATTTTTTCGTTAAAAAATTGAAGAGACTTGCACTTTCATGAACATTTGCTGATCACAATTTTCAAGACACTTAAAAATTTTATCAAGTGTAGTAAGGAAGCAGTAAAGAATACTACGTTGTATAAACTTCATGAGGTGTCCGCGGGGATAGATCCAATGGGATCCAATGCTAACCGCGACCGACTGGGTTGAGCTAAAAAAATCTGTTTTCTTTCTTTTTTTCTTTCTTTTTTTACTTTTAACTTTTAGATTTTTTATACATTAAAAAGATTTTTGGAAAGTCTAGAGATTTTAACATGAAATTTTAAGCTTAGAACTTTTAGAGCCGAAAAATTCTGCAAAATTCGTAAAAAAATATATATATATATTTAGAGATTGGGATTAGCTAAATACTAGTAATGCTTCTCCTGGCGTACATTGTTAAAAAGAACTCAATTCGTTTATAAAGCTATTTACAGTGTGAAAGAGTGACCAAAGCAAAGAGGTTCCATGGCTTCATGCACAGCGGTTTTACCATTCAATACAATCATATAATTATGTAGATCCCACAACTTTGTTGCACTTGGAAACGTCGTCGTGGAAGAAAAGACATTAGCTGTTTCCATTCTAAAGTGCGTTATCCAAAAAACAATTACCTTAAGGACCTTTGTACTATATCCTCACTGTCTACCACTTAACACATCGCGAAACTAAGTTATGGGAGAGAGATCCGCGGATTGTTGTGGAAAGAGGTAGACAGCAAGAATAGATAACGATATGTGAGGAGTTGTCAACCAACACCAGGGGAGGAGGGTGGGGCGAACCTTGATAAGTCGTCTCGGCGGTCGGCGCTGTGACACAGTGAAATCAAAGCCACGTGGTGTATTCTATCTATCAGGGGAGCCCGCAGTGCATTGATGCGTCCCAAAGGACGGCGGAGTATTTTACTGGTCGTTTGGCGATGCGTTAATTAATTATTCAGTGAGAATAGTACTATATCCTCACTGTCTACCACTTAACACATCGCGAAACTAAGTTATGGGAGAGAGATCCGCTCCTTGCCATTCCCTGAGGCAGCCTGCTATAACCTAGGTCTCCGACCCTCTCCCCAAAACACATCGACCTTATAATTTCAATACCCAACACTCAACACCCAATACTCCATAACTCAATAAAGATTTATTAACTGACAACAAACTAATAACCACCGGAGAGTACTGGGATGAATGTCCCTTAGTCATGAAAGATGTATTAATTCAACTATACGAAATTCTCTGCAAATTTCCTTGGTGGGAAAGTTGCAGGGTGGGCGGAGAGCTCGTAGAAGTAAGATTGAGCGTAACCCGTTCTAACAACTGCAACGAAGCAGAAGCACTGGAGCGGCGCGTGTAATACAAAGCCATTTCTGTGCTCCGCCAACCCACGTACTGAGCAATCTGCTCCGGAGTACATCCCAAACCCTTGAGGGTGTATGAAATTCCTACACGAAAGCTGTGAGGGGTCTCTCCGTCATTAATGTTGGCAGCCTTAAGATGCGTTTGGAGCCGTGCAGATACGGCTGACCCTCCGAACGGACGATGTGACACAAACTTTTTATGCTCCGAAGACCTAAAGAGGTACTCACCATGAAGAGGGACACCTAATGCCCCACACGCGGCAATATAATAGTTCAACCAAAAAACCGGGCAGACAGGTACATTTGGAATACCTAACAGAGCAAAAGGGCGAAACTGACCTGCACGCCTCGTTTTACTAAACGTAAAGTTGAGAAGGAACCCCTCCCTATCCTTAAGGCGAAAAAGCTGATCTGCCTTCAAACGGCCCAAATCCGATGCTCTATCACCAGTGTAAAAGTCAATAACAAAGAATGTTATATCCCTGACCAGGAGGTATCTATTGAGAGGAGAAAGCGCAGAGCCTTCGGCAATAAGCCCGCGAAGATAGGCAATTAAACGGGTGAATTTGTCATAGAACAAAGGGACAGCCTGACGAGGGGGCAAAGGTTGCTGGGCTTGCTCCTCTCTTACAAACTTAAGATATTCCTTAACACAAGGATGTGCCAACGGGTTAGAAAACCCTGTACGGCCTAACCTATTGAAAATCGCTCTAAGTTTCCCTATATATGAATCGACAGTTCCGGCCGCTAGACGCTTAGGGCAACTACAGGTCTCACTAGAGCAAGAGCGCACATGGAGTTTCTGTTTTCCCGCAGCATCCTTGCTAATCAAAAACTTTACGATGTCTTCCGCGGTT